TGCGGTGCAGGCAGTGCAGTGCGGTGCAATGTGCTGTGCAGTGCGTGCAGTGGTGCAGTGCGGTATAGTGTGGTGCAGTGCGGTGCAGTGCGGTGTAGTGCGGTGTAGTGCGGTGCCAGGCAGTACAGTGTGGTGCGGGGCGGCACGGGGCAGGGCGGGGTGGGGGGGGGGGGGGGGGGAACCGTACCAGTGCGGAGGACGGGGCCGGGGCTGGCCCGACGGGGCCGGGTGGGCGCGACGGGACCGGGCTGGTGCGACAGGGCCGGGACGGGGCGACGGGGCCGAGCGGACGCGACGGGGCCGGGCTGGGGCGACGGGGCCGGGCGAGTGCGGCAGGGCCGGGCCGGTGCGACGGGGCCGGGCGAGCGGGACGGCGGCCGGGCGGGTGCGACGGGGCCGGGCGGCTGCAACGGGGCCGGGCAGGGTGCAACGGGGCCGGGCAGGTGCGACGGGGCCGGACGGCTGCGACGGGGCCAGGCAAGGGCGACGGGGCCAGGCGGCTGCGACGGGGCCGGGCGGGCGCGACGGGGCCAGGCGGCTGCGACGGGGCCGGGCAGGGTGCGACGGGGCCGGGCAGGTGCGACGGGGCCGGACGGCTGCGACGGGGCCAGGCAAGGGCGACGGGGCCAGGCGGCTGCGACGGGGCCGGGCGGGCGCGACGGGGCCAGGCGGCTGCGACGGGGCCGGGCAGGGTGCGACGGGGCCGGGCAGGTGCGACGGGGCCGGACGGCTGCGACGGGGCCAGGCAAGGGCGACGGGGCCAGGCGGCTGCGACGGGGCCGGGCGGGCGCGACGGGGCCAGGCGGCTGCGACGGGGCCGGGCGGGCGCGACGGGGCCGGGCGGGTGCGACGGCGCCGGGCGGGCGCGACGGGGCCGGGCGGCTGCGACGGGGTCGGGCAGGGTGCGACGGGGCCCAGGAGGGGCGCTACAGGGCCCAGGGAGGGCGCGACGGGGCCCAGTAGGGGCGCTACGGAGCCACGGAGGGGCGCGACGGGGCCTGGGAGGGGCGGGACGGGGCCCAGGAGGGGCGCGACAGAGCCCAATAGGGGCGCTACGGGGCCTGGGAGGAGCGCGACGGGGCCCAGGAGGGGCGCTAGGGGGCCTGGGAGGAGCGCGACGGGGCCTGGGAGGGGCGCGACGGGGCCTGGGAGGGGCGTTACAGGGCCCAGGAGGGGCGCTACGAAGCCCAGGAGGGGCGCGACGAGGCCCAGGAGGGGTGCTACGGTGCCCAGGAGGGGCGCGACGGGGCGCGACGGGGCCTGGGAGGAGCGCGACGGGGCCCAGGAGGGGCGCTAGGGGGCCTGGGAGGAGCGCGACGGGGCCTGGGAGGGGCGCGACGGGGCCTGGGAGGGGCGTTACAGGGCCCAGGAGGGGCGCTACGAAGCCCAGGAGGGGCGCTACGAAGCCCAGTAGGGGCGCGACAAGGCCCAGGAGGGGCGCTACGGGGCCCAGGAGGGGCGCGACGGGGCGCTACGGGACCTGGGAGGAGCGCGATGGGGCCCAGGAGGGGCGCTAGTGGGCCTGGGAGGAGCGCGACGGGGCCTGGGAGGGGCGCGACGGGGCCTGGGAGGGGCGCTACGAAGCCCAGGAGGGGCGCGACGAGGCCCAGGAGGGGCGCTACGGGGCCTGGGAGGAGCGCGACGGGGCCCAGGAGGGGCGCTAGGGGGCCTGGGAGGAGCGCGACGGGGCCTGGGAGGAGCGCAACGGGGCCCAGGAGGGGCGCTAGGGGGCATGAGCGGAAGCGGTAGGTGGGGGGGGGGGATCCTACCTACGCGTGATACCATGTCAGAATAATTGAATAATGGTAAAGATGAGAGTACACACAAATATACCTAAGTGTTGTACCCTCTATGCGGTAACCCTATACAGTCTATACAAACATAACAAATACAGATGTTTGACACCCTACCCTTCCCCCCATTGCAGCCCTGACCAATTTTCCACACAATCTGAAGGTGTGACCCGTGGAACTTTCACAACTACAAAAGTGCAGGGCTTTCAGACTATCACAACCCCTTAATATCACCTTAGCCAGGCTTCGCACTGTCCCTCTAAGTTGTACGCATTTCTGTCGCGATTGACAAGGAAAGTGTCGAACTTGGTGTGGTGCTGAGGGACAGCAACAGCAGCAAGTGTGTATTCTGTATTCTTCTCCATCGTTTCTTCCATCGATGTCCGTCCTGCTTGTACTCGAAGTGCCCGCAGGTTCCGCCTATATGTAGGGAGTTCCAGAAAACACTCTGAAATTCAGATTGAAAAGTCAAAGCAATCCTGAAATAAAGAGATATTTCCCTGGTAATGCTGAATTTTCAGGAAATTTAGAGACGCGAATTCTGAGACCGCTGGGTCCTGGAAAACGAAAAATTAGCCCTGTTCCACGCCCTGAGTCATGTCGCACAAGAGTCATGTCGCTCGACCTTGCAGGCGGCTATTCTGGACACTAACGGATTCCTCTCTGTTGTCTCACACAGATTCCCAGCTTCCGCAGGACGACCAAGGTGTTGGTGCCAAGTTTTGCTTCTCTTCTCTCCCTTACTGCGCCAAGCAAATTCTTCCCGCCACGTCGAAATGTTGCTCCACTCTCACACCCCCTCCTCTCCCGCCGTTTCCCGCGCTATCCCTGCGTGTAACTCGCACCGCTCACGAACGCACCTGAACAGACCGCGCTTTGCGCCGCATTCCACGGCGGAGAGAGCGTCTCTCGGTCTCACCCTCCCCGGTCCATTAATAGTCAGCTACGGCGCACCCGCGAATCGCGTAGTCGTTTCCGCATCCTCCTCCGCCAAGCCGTCCGCGCCCGCTACAGCCGCGCCGCCAACCGGCGGCGGCGGCGGCGGGAGGGATTTCTTTGAGTCGGACGTGGTGCGCTACGGCGACCGCTACAACCGCCCGGACCGCTTCCCGCGCCTGCGACGCGCGGACGCGGCGCAGCGCCAGGTGGACGTCAGGGATTGGCTGCAGCGGCTGCGGGCTACCGCACGCGACGTCTTCGTATGGGACGAAGGGGAGAATAATGACGCACTGGAGACGCACGGTGGAGATAGTGAGGGCGCGGAGGGGGCGGAGGGGGCGGAGGAGGGGCAAGGCGCAGCAGATGCAGCAGGCATGGCGGCGGCGTCCGCGTTCCGGTTGCTGGTGGCGCAGGGGCGGCTGGAGGAGGCGTTTGACGTGGCGCGGGAGGGGATGAGGGCGGGTCGCGCGGCGTTCGCGCTTGAGCCCGTGGCGCTGCTGCAGCCCGGTAGCGCCGGCAGGTGAGTGAGCATGCAAGCACAGCCCGGTCGGTCGGGGGATGTGCTTGGTGACTTTTGAGTCGACACTTTTCGTCCTCCTCGCTACAATGTAGCCACCGACATGCTCCTCCTGCGGGGCTCATGCGCTTCTACGCCCCTACGACAGCCCCTCTCTGCCTGTAACCCATCTGCCACATGTGCTCGCCTCCCTCCTTCCTTCTCACAACCTTCCAAGCGTTTCTCCTGCGAAACCCCACCCCCTGCTTGCCCTGCCAGCCACACTCCCTCCCCTCCCCCCCTCCCAGCCTCCCCCCAAAGTCATTCCCCAGTCTGGTTTGCTCCCCAATGCTGGCGCGTTTGCCTTTTGAGTCGACTCAAGCGTCTTCCCCCCAACCCCAACCCCCCCGAATGCATGTTCCATTCTGAGACGCGCTTTTGAGGCGCCTCAAAAGTCGCTTCCATTCTGAGATGCGCTGCTGCAACAACGCGCTGCTGCAACAACGCGCTGCTGCAACAACGCGCTGCTGCAACAACGCGCTGCTTACTCTCGCACATCCCTGTCTGTACAACCCTCCCCGTTCCCTCTCGCTTGGCTCAGTTCAACCCCCACTCCCCCCTCCCCTCCCCCCCCCCCCCGCCCCGGGCCCCGTCCCTTCCCCCCCTCTTCCTCCCTCTCTCCTTTCTCTCAGCCCGGCAGCAGCAGATCACGCTGCATTCATGCTGGCAGCCGTGGACAGTGGCAACGTCGAGACCGCCTTTGAATACGCCGGCCTGCTGCCCCCCCCTCCCTGCTCCTCCTCCGCCTCCTCCGCCCCCTCCGCCTCCTCCTCCTCCACATCTCTCCCCCCGTCCGCCATGGCTGTCTACAACCTGCTGCTGGCGGCGTACGTGGTGGCGGGGGACAGCAGCGCCATGCTGCTAGCTGTCAACACGGCGCGGCGCAGAGGGATCGCTCCCGATGGGCTCACGTCCGCGCTGCTGCTGGCGGCGGCTGTGGCGCACGGGGATGAAGAGGTGAGTGGGAGCATGGGCAGGAGTTTAGTTGTGAGACGCCACCCCTCTACACCGCCACCCCTATACAGCCCTCCTTGACTTTTGTCACTCATCCCGTTCCCTACCCGAATTCCTCCCAACCAACCACCCCACCTCACCCCGGCCCCACATTTTTTCCCCCCTCCTCTTTCCCCACACTCCTGTCTCTCTTTCCTCTCTCGCTCCTGAATCGTGATGTGTGCGTGCCTACCTGTCCCTGGCAGGGTGGTGTGGATAAGCTATCACAGCAGCGGCTGATGTTTGAGGATGCGTGTGCGCATGGGCATGTCAGGCCCGGGGTCACACTGCAGCAAGCGCTGGCAGCATGCACCGTGCCGTTCGTGCGCACTGGTTGAAAAATACACTATTTGATAGCTGGTACGATTCAATGTGTTTCTAGCTGCCGAGGAGTTCTTGTGTTTGGCAGAGGGATCGACTACGCAGGGATGCATGCATGCATGCGTAAACAGGAGGCATGCCAAGTTGAAAGCACAACACAGCATAGGCACACGCAAAACCTTGGATTACTCCTTAATCAGCAACAGGCAAAAACAACAAAAGAATAAATCCACCGACGAGATGCCCTCATGCTTCTGTTCTAAGCACATTCAACAAGTGCCCGATCGAACACACGTGTTGCAGTCGGATGGAGGCATGGCATGGCATGGCATGGCATGGCATGGCATGGCATGGCATGGCAGGTGACAGCAGGAGCAAATTAGATGTTGACAGGTGTTTCTAGATGTTGACCCATCAGTGCAGGCAGGAGCACGAGTATGCATGGTGGCATGTGTGATCTATGCATTCTGTGCCTAGGCGATCCATTGTGTGCCTAGGCACCGAGCAGGAGCATTGGCGGCACAGTGGGAGCAGATGGGAGCAGATGATGTTGACCGGTGGTGACTGGTCAGAACGGGCAGCAGGAGCACACGTGTGGCGCAACAGCGAATTTCGCAATGAAAAATCCAATGGTGTCGAGGGCGTGGGAGGGGTCGAAGCTCATCACCTTGTGCTGCTCGCCCTCCCGCAACCACTCCCTGCAGCACGGGTGGAGAGGAGGGTGGAGAGGAGGGTGGAGAGAAGGGTGGAGAGGAGGGTGGAGAGGAGGGTGGAGAGGAGGGTACACGATGCCATGGGAGATGAGGAAGAGAGAGGGATGAGTGGGGGGAGAGAAACAGGGGAGACAGGGAGACGCAAGAGGAAGCAGTATGAGTCTTGGAAGGGGGTGCTCTGCATGGGAAGGGTGGTCTTTTGTGTGGCGAAGGGGGAGGGGCTAGGGTGAGAGAGAGGGAGGGGGTAGGCCAAGGGGAAGGGAAGGGGAAAACAGGCAAACATACACATTGTCACACGCAGCAGGGAAAGGGATAGGCGAGTGGACACGACATAACTGGCAACAGGGAAGCAAGAGGGGGCGATGAGAGGAGCCGATGCTCTGCTGATTGCCGACGACTGGCACAACAACGCACCCCCCAAAAAGCAACGACTGCCCTCGCCACACCTCTCTCGTCCACACCTCTCTCGTCGTCCACACCACCCTCGTCCACACCTCTCTCGTCCACACCTCTCTCGTCCACAACTCGCTCGTCCACACCTCGCTCGTCCACACCTCCCTCGTCCACACCTCCCTCGTCCACACCTCTCTCTCTCTCACCACTGCATCCCATCCCTACAGCGGACTTGCCACCTCACTTGCATTGCGCGAGCTGCTGCCACTCACTTGCACGAGTGGCCGTCTGAGACATCCAGTCCGCCTACAAGGCCGGGCTGCCCCAGGTGAAGCTCGGGAGGCTGAGGAAATACACGGACACGAGGAGGCAGGATACAGATGGGAAGGGCATGGGGAGGATTCTTGATGCGCCTCAAGAGATGCCCCAGGTGGAGCTCAGGAGGCTGGAGAATACACGGACCCGGGGAGGCAGGGGTCATGGGGAGGGCGTGGGGAGGACAGCTCTTGAGAAATCTCAAAACAAACAGACGGACAGGGGAAGGGAAGGGGAGAGGAGGGGAGGGGAGGGGAGGGGAAGGGGGAGGGGAAGGGGAAGGAGAGAACACCAAACAGGAGAAGAAAGGGGGAGGTGAGATGCACAAAACAGAAGTGGAAATCACATGAACATGGCTTGCAAAAAATGGGACCCCAACTAATGGGCAAAGCGTAGGCGGGGGTGGCAGGCTGTCTCACAGGGGCTTGCAGGGCGAGGCAGGGATAGGTGTCGAGGGCGTATCGCACATTGGCCTCGTTCTCCCCTGGGTTGATGCTGCACCTGATGGTGGCGTGCAAGAATGGTGAGGGGAGGCAGGAGGAGTGAGGCATGGATGGGCACCGGAAGGAGAGACAAAGAGAACCTGACGGTATAGTTATACTTCTTGTGTGTGTGATAGTGAGAGAGTGAGTGAGGGAGTGAGTGAGACAAGATATGCTCCAAGAATATTAGGAATATCAAACCTATGGTTGACACCGCTGACAGCGCTGAGTGTTTCGGATTGCAGTGTGCCGTGGAGAAAATGAGGAGCGGCGCCTCAAACCCATGGCAAAGCTGCTCAACTGGTGCCCTGGCGGGAGCAGCGCGCTGATAAGTGGACGAGCATGTGCCCTTTGAGTGGGGGCCGGCCGGCATTGACAATGACCACACGCTTCCTGGTTTCCCTGAGCCCATCGGCCACCTCCCGAGGTGCACATTCTCGTCTGTAATGAGTCGATTTTTTAGTCGACTCAAAATTCGACTCATTACACACCGAGGTGCACATGCTCGTCCACTCATCAGGGGGTTGCTCCCGCCAGATCACCAGCTGCGTTGAGTAGCTTTGCCAGGCTGTGAAGCGCCGCTCCTCATTGTCTCCATGGCACACTGCTATCCGAAACACCCAGTGCCGTTAGCAGGATCAGCCACAAAGCCTAATTCTATGAAGTGTATTGTGCGCATCTATGCGTTTTCAACCCACGGATATCCAATTGTGGTGTGACTCCACCTCCCGACCATTGCCTCGGCCTCCCCATCCATGCCAACGTCTCATGTACCTCACCGATGCTACTGTCAGCGCTGAGCCCCCACCACGAGGTTGTTGTCCTAGCATTCGAGGTCGAAACAGTGACTTCTGAGTCGACTCAAAAGTCATCATGCCAACACTTCTACCCTAGCCCACCTGTGCTACTGTCGGCGCTGAGCCCCCACCACGAGGTTGTGCTAGCATGAATTCCAATCAGTGCTAGTTGCTCTACGCCACCACCACGAGGTTTGTCTTGCGGATTGCCGAACTAGGAGGTGTATTTCACCCCTCCGCTCTCCCCCCTCCCCTTTTATTCAATACGCTTCTGTGATGCTAAGAGTGGTCGTGCATGAGGGAGCATTGGTAAAGAGTGAGCATGGATTGGAAGCCGAGAAGGCAACATACGTGGAGTAGACAAGTGTGCCACCGGGTTTGACCAGGCGCACGGCGGCGTCAATGAGCCTGCGCTGGTACACCGCATGCTTGCGCAGCTCACACAGGGACACCTGGGGGAGAGGAAGCGTGCAGGGGGACAAGACGATGCCAGAGATGAGCTGAGTGGGGGGTGGGGGTGAAATCAACAACTTCTAAGCAGGCTCAACGGCAGCATCGATGATACACCGCATGCTTGCAAAGCTCACAGAGGGACACCTGGGGGAGTGGGGTGAGATGATCTTCGAGGCACCTGGAAAATCACAGTTTAGGGGTGAGAAGTCTAGATTGACGTCATAAGGACACACCCATGGTTCCGGAGCTCACACAAAGACACACCCATGGTTGCGGAGCTCACACAAAGACACACCCATGCTTGCGGAGCTCACACAAAGACACACCCATGCTTCCGGAGCTCACACAAAGACACACCCATGCTTGCGGAGCTCACACAAAGACACACCCATGCTTGCGGAGCTCACACAAAGACACACCCATGCTTGCGGAGCTCACACAAAGACACCTGGAGAGGGGTGAGACGAGCTTTGAGGCGCCTAGAATAAGAGCCTGCTGAGCAGTGATACGTGGCAAGCTTGCGCAGCTCACACAAGTACACCTGGGGTTATATGCCGAGTTCAGTGCTTACCGCCCATATCCCAAATTATTCCTTGCAAGTCAACAGGCAGTAGTAGGGCTGGGTGCCTGGAATAACAATCCTGACTAATGGGTGAAAAAGTTGCGACAAAGTATTATGTGAGCAGATTTCGTCGAAGTGGTTGGTAATTTCGGGAGGGACGATCTGACGGCTGGGACTGTGGGACACGGAACTCCCAAATTACAAACACGTCTACAGCCGTAGATAAAAAAAAAGAGCCAGTCCCTCCCTGCACGTGTGGCGAAGTCACGGTTGGGGCACCTTTCCAAGCAAAAAAAAAAAAACGTGTTTTGCACCAAACTGGGCCCAGTTTGGTGCAGAACTGACCAATTTGGGACCTGGGCTTTAATCAGAAGCAAGGTGGGAGATAATGCAGGGTGGAGGGAGGGTGCGTTGTGTGCAGGGGGGCACCTGCAAAAGCCGCTCTTTGAGTATGCTCAAACACATGCACAAGCTGCTTCGCCATAATTTCAAATGCCATCCACTTCACTCCATGCCATGATTTCTCTGCCTCACCATGATATGCCCTTTGCCATGCCATTCCGGCACGCACATCCACAATTACACACACGCACACACCCACACATGCACACACCCACACACGCACACACCCACACACGGACACACGGACACACGCACACACGCACACACGCACACACCCACACACGCACACACGCACACACGCACACACCCACACACCCACACACCCACACACGCACACATGCACACATGCACACACCCACACACGCACACATGCGCACACCCACACACGCACACACGCACAAACGCACACACGCACACTCCCACACGCACACACACCCACACATGCACACACCCACACACCCCACACGCTCACACGCACACACGCACACACGCGCACACACACATACCCACACACACACACACCCACACACACACACACGCACACACCCACACACCCACACACGCACACACCCACACACGCACACGCCCACACACCCACACACGCACAGAGCACGGAGTCTATTTTTGAGGCGCCTCAAAAAAAGGCCAAGGGCAGAGCAGGCCCATCCAGCAGAGGTGGCATATGAGAGTCGACAGACAAGTCCCCCCCCCCCACACACACACACACATTGCCTGCAAAGAGCCGGGGCCTAAGCCCAAGGGCAGAGCAGGGCCCATCCAGCAGCACTCGATCAAAGCTGTGCGGCTCAAAGCCCCCCCTCTCCCTCGCCCTCGCCTCCTCCTCCCCCTCCTTCCCTGTTCCGCCTCCCCCTGCCTCTCCCCCCAGTTCCCCTCTCGTCCGCCCCTGCCTGTCCCTGCCTCCCCCTCTCTGCCGCCGCTTCTCCTCGCGCTCCTCTGCTCGGCTCTTGCCGGAGGCTATGGGGAGTCATTGGGTGCGGTGGCAGGGAGTGTGGGACATGGGGTGCGGTGTGTTTGCTAAGAATGAGGCATGGTGATACTAAGGATGGATGGAAGGGCCATGATGGAAGGTGTTTCAGTGTTTTGGTGTAATGGTGGTGCGATGGTGGTGCAATGGAGCATGCTGCAAACACGGCACATGGCACATGGGGCAAATGACACAGCCACATGGCACATGGGACAAATGACACGTGGCACATGGGTGCTGGCAGCCTTGCAGTCGCAGCTCTCAAGGTGCAAGGTCGCGAGTCTATATTTGAGGCGCTTTAAAAATAGACTCTCAAGGTGCAAGGTGGCGAATGGAAGCAAAAGGCCGAAGCGTGGAAGCAAAAGGCCGAAGCGTGGAAGCAAAAGGCCGAAGCGTGGAAGCAAAAGGGCGAAGGGCGAAGAATGGAAGGCTGACAAGCAGCAGCAAGGCAACGCAGGCAACAGCTGACTGGTCACACTCACCTCTTCTGGAGCCTGCATTACGCACACCCCCTTTGCTGCCAGCAGCATCGGCACTCGTACTGCTGCCGATCACACCATTACCCCTAGCATCACCGCATGCCTCCTCCCCTGCTGCTGCTGCTGCTGCCACAGGACTTTCTGCTGCTGCTGCTGCTGCTACTCTCCCCTCGCTCTGATTCCCCACTCCCTCCCTCGCGCCAATCTCATCTGCTTCACTTGTTCCGTCCCTCGTGCTAGAGTCAGTGACACCGCCAGAACTAGAACCCAAGCCAGGAGCAGCCGACGCAGCAGAGGCAGAGGCAGGCGCAGCAGCAGCAGCAGCAGCAGCAGCAGCAGCAGCAGCAGCAGCAGCAGCAGCAGCAGCAGAAACAGAAGCAGATCTCGTAGCAACGGCTTTGGTGGCGTCCATCTTGATGGCATGGATGCATGTGAGACCCATCTCCGTTGCCACCGCCCTTATGCCCCGCACCTGGTGCACAGCCACGCCATGGGGGGCAATGCAGGGGGACGAGTGGGACGGGAAGGGCAGGGAGGGAGGGCAGCAAGACGACACGACACATCAGCGGAGCAGGCTTAGTAGCGACAGCCGGCAGCAACAGCTTTGGTGGCAGCGCCTTTAGAGCCTGCAAGTTTAGCAGCAGCGGCTTTGGTGGCGTCCATCTTGATGGCAGGGATGGATGCATGTGAGACCCATCTCTGCTGCCACCGCCCTTATGCCCCGCACCTGGTTGGGAACGGGGGGGGATGAGTGGTGAAAATAAAAGGGGAAAGGCGGTTCAAACCCATAGTCCGTATTGTCCAAAAGTTGAACAATTGAACAGGGGTGGAAGAAACTGGTTGGATGGCGAGTCCAAAACGAAGAACGAAGTTTGTCGCCAACCTCCGCTGAACTAGCTGCTTCGCGAGGGGGGTGTTTGTAGTTAGGGTGTGCTTCCCAACGCGACACAAAGTCTCGCTACTTCAATGTACACCCCCTTTGTGTCGCGTCATAAGTTCCACCCGACACGAAAGAAGTAACATCCTTGCCCTAATAGAACACGCCCTAGCGAAAGCGAACTGGTGTTTGCACCGCCAGTCCGTAATTCCCAGTGAACTTTTGAGTCGACTAAAAACAGTGCTTTTGTTGAACAAAGCAGCCTCTTGGTGGGTGCTTTGCCCCCCTCCCCCCGGTCGACTTTTGAGTCGACCCAGAAGTCACCTCCCCCTGGTCCCTCCCCAACATTTGCGAGGAGTGTTCGGGTATCCCGTATTCAGTTGTTCAACAAACTCCCCATCTTGGACAATCTCGACTGCGGGAGACAAAACGAAGCCATGCGGGAAACAATAGAAGGAAGAGAACGAAGGAAAGATCGAGCGATTCTCCTCGAGCTGCGCAGTGTTGTACCTTGCTGTGTGCCCTAAAAAATCCCGCCTGCACTCCTCACAGCCAGACCAGACCAACACCTCTCATCCCCCCCCCTTCTAGCCGTGCAGTTCACGAAATACATACTGCCCCGGCCGGCGCACTGGACTCACCTTGCTGTGTGACCGATCCAGCGCCACAAGCGTGCCCCTATCGCCCATAAGCATGGCCAATGCAGTTGTCTTGCCACCCGGTGCCGCACACATGTCCAGCACCCGCTCCCCTGGCTGCGGGGCTGGCAGGGGGGGAGGGGAGGGGGAGGGGGAGAGGGAGGGGGGGCAGAGATGGGGTAAATTTGGAAACGAGAGTGGGGGGTTAGAGTTTGCCTCGCCTGGTGCCGCACACGTGTCAGCACCTACTCCCGTGGCTGGGGGACCGGTGGAGGGGGAAAAACAAGGGGTGGGGGAGAAGCGACCAGGGAGGGTGAGAAACGGGGGTTTGAAGTGAAGGGGGGTGGAGGTGAAGGGGACATGGGAGAGAGGAGAGGTGCAGAAAGGAGAGGGATGCGCTGGAACGTCCGAATTGAGAGGTAGAGAGCAAAAGAAGGTTGCCAGCTTGCGTGAGAGAAGGGCAATGTCGGGCGCTTATGCAGCTGTATCACATAGTGCACCATGGGGTGGCATGGCATGGCATGGCATGGCACGGCACAACACGCACCCAGCACTCTAGCAGTGATGATGCTGGGCAGGTTCTGCAGGAAGACATGGCCGCCTGGGAGAATGTCTGGCGCGGGGTGGGGGGAGATGGGAGATGGGAGATGGGAGATGGGAGATGGGAGATGGGAGATGGGAGATGGGAGATGGGAGATAGGAGATAGGAGATGGGAGAGGGGAGACAGGGGCAGGTAGCGGGCTGGAGTGAGGGGAGACAGTAAGGACAGAGGAGGCAGGAGAGAGCGGAAATGGGCGGGAGGGAAATCGGATGCATTGAGAGAGAGGGCAGACATGGCGGTGGCAGCCGGGTGATGAGATGGGGGCAACGATGGGGGAGGGAGGGGAGACGACGGGGATATGGAGGGGAGACGGAGGGGATACTGCACGTTTGAGACGGGAAGAAACGGGGCACTTGAACAGCATGCAATGCACACATTCTTTTGGATCCACTCAAAAGGAAACAGATCAAGGGCACGATGCACCCCCCCCCCCCCCCCCACCCCCCCGTTTCCTCCCTCCCCCTAACCACCCCTTCCTGCCCCCCTCTTCCTCCCCACCTCCCCTGTTCCTTTCCCCCTGACCCCTCCAGCCTGTCCCGTTCACCCTGTCCGCTCCCCCCTGTCCGCTCCCCCCTGTCCGCTCCCCCTGTCCGCTCCCCCCTGTCCCCTCCCCCCTGTCCCCCCCCAATCCCCCTATTGTCCCCGCCCCTCCTCGAGCAGCGAGTCGCACCATGGCAGGGCGGCAGCAGGAAGGCGCGGTGGGAGAGGGAGACAGCGACGCCGTGGGAGGCGCGGAACATGGCGGTGCGCGACACCTGGGCCACGCCCTTGCCTATGAACCACTGCGACCGGTCCCGCCGCTCAAATCCTGCAGGTTGGAAAAGGAAGGAGGAGCACGGAGGGGCACGGAGGGGCACGGAGGGGCAGAAAGGGGCAGGGAGAGGCAAAGAGGGGCCCGGAGGAGCACAGAGGGGCAGGGAGGGGCAAAGAGGGGCACGGAGGGGCACGGAGGGGCAGGGAGGGGCAGGGGGGGCAGGGAGGGGCAGGGAGGGGCATGGAGGGACTGCGGTTCTGAGGCGGGATCAAGAGAGGAGGCACAGCCGCGCCACGCCCTTGCCTATCAGCCAGGGCGAGCGGTCATGGCCCTAGAAGCCATCAGGCAGGAAACGCATGGGGGCGAGCGTGGGGAGAGACGAATGGAGGAGAGGATGGGAGGGAGGGAGGAAAAGGCATGGGGGGAAAGGTTATGGGATGGGCGGAGGGTGAGGAAGAAAGTGCCTTTCTGATCAGCTTCAAAGACACGGGTGGGAAAAGCCCTTTACCTGGGCTCGAAAAGCCTGCAACTTTACTACGCCATGCCAACCCATGCCATCCCATGCCACGTCATGCCATACCATGCTGTGCCATGCCAAGCCCCATGCCAAGCCCCATGCCATGCCAAGCCCCATGCCATGCCAAGCCCCATGCCAAGCCCCATGTGATGCCAAGCCCCATGTCATGTCAAGCCCCATGTCATGTCAAGCCCCATGTCATGTCAAGCCCCATGTCATGTCAAGCCCCATGTCATGTCAAGCCCCATACCATGCCAAGCCCCATGCATGGCCTTCCCCCATCACCTGCTCGTGTGTGAGCAGAGCCCAGCGTGGCTCCACGAGTCAACCCCACCAACCACTCCCCTCCCTCCCCTCCTCCCTCCCCCTCTAAATCCCCTTCCACTGCTAAATCCTCTCCGCCTCCTCTCTCCCCCTTTCTGTTCCCATCCCTTCCCTCCTCTACCCCCTCCGCCCTGGATTCAACGGCCACGCACACGGCCACTGTGTCGCCCTGCTCCACACTAGGGCTGCACGCTAGAACGCCCGGTACAAACACCTGGGGGGAGGAAGAGATGAGATCGAGGAGGCGGATAGGAGAAGGAGAGGGAAAGAGTGTGTGCGAGGATGTGACTTGCACTGCCCTTGAATCTGACGAGAAACAGCACTCCCATGCCATGCCCCCATCACCGTTCCCATGCCCCATCACTGCTCCCATGCCCCATCACTGCTCCCATGCCCCATCACTGCTCCCATGCCCCATCACTGCTCCCATGCCCCATCACTGCTCCCATGCCCCATCACTGCTCCCATGCCCCATCGCTGCTCCCATGCCCCATCACTGCTCCCATGCCCCATCACTGCTCCCATGCCCCATCACTGCTCCCATGCCATGCCCCATCACTGCTCCCATGCCCCATCACTGCTCCCATGCCCCATCACTGCTCCCATGCCCCATCACTGCTCCCATGCCCCATCACTGCTCCCATGCCCCATCACTGCTCCCATGCCCCATCACTGCTCCCATGCCCCATCACTGCTCCCATGCCCCATCACTGCTCCCATGCCCCATCACTGCTCCCATGCCCCATCACTGCTCCCATGCCCCATCACTGCTCCCATGCCCCATCACTGCTCCCATGCCCCATCACTGCTCCTGTGCCCCATCACCACTCCCATGCCTCAGCCAAGCCAACATAAACCAGCTGATCCCGTCACCTCACATAGGCCCCCATCAACACCACTCACCCCACTTACAATGCCCCCCCCCACCCCCCCCCCCCCCCCCCCCCACTCACAACGCCCTCTCCCACTCACATTGGCTCCTCGCAGCACAGCCTCGCCACACTTTCTGCTCACCACCACCTGCTTCATCCTCCCCCCGCTCCCCCTCCTCCTCCCACTACCACTGTCTCCCCCCTCCGTGCCCACCTCTCCGGCCTCCCCCTCTCCCTCCCGCGCCCTCTCTTCCCCCTCCGCTCCTCCATCCCCACCCCCACCACCACTGCCCGCGCTTCGTTCCACTGCTTCATATGCCACTCTGTGCGGCCCTGTGCCCTCCACTATAATCACACCCGGCACCAGAGGGTGCTCTCTGCACACCAGGCGAGCCGACACTGTGCTCCCCGCATCACAATCACCATCAACGTCAGCATCAGCAGCATCATTCTCCCTGTCAGAACTCTCCTCCGTCCTTTCTCCTCTCCCACCTTCTCCTATCCTCTCAGCCTCTCGCTCCCTCCCCTGCCTCCACTCTCTCTCCTCGAACCCCTCAATCCTTTCGCCTTCTGCCTCTCGCTTCCCTTCCCCTGTTACTACCGTGCGCTTCGCTTCCACCTTATCCCCACCCCCTCCCCCTCCGCCTCCCCCTCCGCCCCCCCCTCCACCTTCCCCTGCGTCCAGTCCCAGCGCGCCCGCGACAGCCACGAGCGCATCTCCGGTGGTGGTGCGGAGGGGGTTCACGCGCAGACACACGGACAGGGGGGGACGGCTGCGACAGGGGAAGAGGGCGGGTAAAATGGGGAGGGGGTAGGGGGGGGGGGGAGAGGAGGATGAGGGAAACACTGGGTGTCCGGCGGCAAAGGACCTCAGGATGCGCCGAAAAAGGGGGGTGGGGGGGGGGGGTGGAACTGAGAACCTATAAAAGACGAGTCAACGATAAGGTGTCGACTATCAGTGGGACGGAGCGAACAATTAGTTCCAAGCACCACACTGTCCATCGCGTGAAGGTGACGTCATCGCACCTTAGCGCCGCGCAGATGCGCTCGAACCGCTCCGCACCGTACGCCTGCGACAGGTAAGCGCGGACGCCGGCCTGCCATTCCAGCCGCGGCTCGAATCGCCAGTCCGCGTCCGCCGTCGGGTCTGGGAAGTCGACTGCTCCAGGTGCTGCTGCTTCTGATGCTGCTCGTGACGCGGGTTTCAATGTTCGTTCCAATGGGCGGTCCGGTGCTGCGGCGAGCTCTCGTGCGCTCCCTCCCGCGCCTTCCGCGGCTGCCGCGTGGCCTGAAGCCGGGGCCATGGCTCGGCGGCGACAACTGCTGCCGCCGTGGTCTGCGGAATTCGGGGAATGTCGCGAAATATTTTGCTGCTCAGTGTGGCAATCATGCTAATATAAGCCCCCGAAAACCCCTCTGGTTTGTGGTCCCCTATACATCTGCATCTCGGGGATTGATGAAGAGTTTCTAATATCACGAGATCAACTTCTAGTTAATCCTCCCCCAATCAAAACAACGAAACATTTACCGTAACGAGGCCAGTACTACAGGGAATACCACGAGCTATCACTCGCTTTCATTTGCTGCCACTTTTCCCGCCCTTTTCCACCTTTGCCGCCCGCTGACACCTGGACTTGGCAGCCTCGCCTCCCCGCTTACGTCACCTGTCGCCTCTGCATGTCAATTCCGCGCATGATTTGGGAGAGGGGTCCGAAAATTGCACTCGTGCCGCCATGGCTCATGATCCCTGCATTGCGGTTCGAAGAGGCCAGCCAGCCAGACCCATCCAAAACCAATCAAACCGATTTACACCAGATCATGTAGAGAGAGAAATACAATACGTTACCTCCCAGCACTTGAGTTTGCCCCTTTATGGTGGATCAGCCTGGTGCTACATACCGTCATATTCCTGCTAATCCTAACAGCTCACTGATCGCATATTGGACCACAATAATCGACGTAGTTAGGTTTTCGAGATCGCATATTGCCTCTTTGCAGTCGTCATTCCCCTTCTCCCCGCATCCTATTGGACCACGCTTTTCTAATATGCCTCTACCCGTATGCTCTCGAGATGCTTCACTCCACGAGAACTCCACTGGCAAACGACGCTTTCTGCTGACGCTGGCAGATCGGCAGGCACCGTTCGATACCTTCGAGACTGAATCCGAGTCGTCTTTCGTCGCCGAAACTAGGATATTTTTATGACCGACAACTGGCAGAGCTTGTCAGCCACGTGGTGGCCAAATCTCTTCCACTCACTTCATTATCACCTTTCGCGCCCTTTCGCGCCCTTCCGCCGTCTGATCCGCACCCTCTCGCTTCCGTACATGCCATCTCTTATCGAGGACATGGGGCCCACCGAACGTCGCGTGGGCCCGAGCCACGTGGACGAAATCCGTTGGTCGCCGAGAGCAAGTCACGAGGCCGTCGATCGCGCAACGGAAAAAAACCGAATATCCAGCCCCAAGTCACGTGGCGAAAAATCGCCGACGATCGCCCAAGCCATGTGGGCTCGTCGCACGTGAACCCCACTGGATCCCTGCGCCCCTTAGCAGGAAGTTCCTGCTTCCCCCAACGGTCGCAAGCAGGCAGCAGCCTGGCTGCTGGCCCTCCTCTCACTCCTCGGGCTTATCACCGTCAGCAAGAAGCTGCAAGTTTCTGCTCCTGCTGCTCCTGCAAGAAGTTCCTCTGCCGGGAGGTTCCTTCCTTTCCCACAAATCTCCTCTTATTGCGACGTCATCAGCTTCATCGTGGCGATCTGCATCGTTGTTCCCAGAGTCACGAGGAAAGGCGCGATCCAGTCTTGCACAAGTTTCCACCATGGCGTGACAACCGCAACGGCGGCAGCAACGGCAACCGAAGTTATGTTGAATTAGAGTATCGGAGATCCCAGATCCATGCAAGTTCGACTTGAACTAACAAGGTCTAGGAAATCGGGCTCCTAAGGAAACAGTACGATCTCGAGCAACAGAGCAGTAATTTGTGGGGGATTTCATGGCGGCAAACGTCGCTAGCAACCAACCCTACGACGACTCCAGCCCTACCACCACCGCCGGCAGCCCTACCAGCAGCACGGCTAGCAGCACGCCAGCCAGGGCCCACAGCAGCTATTACAACAGCGGCAGCTACCGCAGTGACTACGACTGCTCTCCCCCCAACGTTCGCCAGCAGCAGCAGCAGCAGCAGCAGCTGCAGCTACTGCGACAGCAGTCGTCCCTCAAGCCCTACCCGCTCATGCGCGTTCTCCAGGCATCTATGATGGACTACGCCGGCCGATTCCCCTCCCGTCAGTCCTCCTCCCCCTCCTCCTCCCGCCATTCCCCTCGCCTGTACCGCGGACTCGGCAGCGGCTGCAGCTCCAGTACCAGCAGCGCGGCGGGCAGCGGGTCGTTCGCCATCCCGCGCACGTGGTCGCAGGGATCCAACGGCTCTGCTTCGTCGCCATACAGCAGCAACAGCAACGGTGCCTCGCGCTCTCCTTACGGCACCACCACCAGCAGCACCACGCCGGTTCTCGACGAGCTGTTGCCGGGGATTGGGTCCGGGCGTCTGCTGTCGCTGGAGACACCGAGGCACCGGATTGGTCGGCGACTGCAGAAGCACCTGAGCGATCGCATGTTCCGGGAGACGTTCTGGAGCTCGCCGCCGCCGCGCGACGCCCTTCCGAAGCCGTTCTCATTCAAAGCGCCCGAGGGCAACGGTGCCGCCGCCAACATCTCGCTCGTTCTCGTCGCGATTCTTGCGATCGTAGGTACGGGCTTGGAATAAAAGTCTTTCCTTAACCCCCCGTCCACCGTCTCCTCCCCTCTTTCCCCTCCCTCCCCCCCCTCTTCCCCCTCTCCCCCCGGTACCTTCCTCCCGCTTCGTCTCCTCGCAACGACGCCAGCAGTGCTGCCTCTCTTTATCTTCCGCCTGATCTTTAGCCGATTGCCTCTTTTTTTTCCCTCTACTCATCTTGGTGCCACGGCTGTCGGTGCGCATTTCTCCCTGCGACTGCCCATGTTCGCAGGTATAGCCATTGCTCTGGCGATGGTGGCCATGCCCTTCCTCGGGCTCATCGAGTCGTACTTCACAGGAGAGCCCGCCAGCATCCCCGCGCTCTTCCCTCACCCGTACTCCCCATTCGCACACATGGGTGGGGGAGGGGAGGATTCCATGATGGCGGCAAGCCAGTTTGACTCGGGCCTCAATTGGTGAGATGCGTGGTGTTCTCGACTGCAGCCTGCACCCTGTTCCCGGTTTGACATCCCGAGGGATTAACTGGGCGTTGTTGAGCTAGGCGTGTGGTGTTCCTGACTGTTCCATTGGTTCTTCGCCACCCAATTGGGTTGGTTTTTTTACCTCCTCCTCCTCCTCCTCCTCCTCCTCCTCCTCCTCCTCCTCCTCCTCCTCCTCCTCCTCCTCCTCCTCCTCCTCCTCCTCCTCCTCCTCCTCCTCCCCCTCCCCCCCCTCCCCCTCCCCCTCCCCCCCTCCCCCTCCTCTCTCTCCCTCTCATCTCGCACACAAATACACTCTCCATGCCTCCGCCTATTTCTTCATTGACCTTGCCTTGTACGAACCTTGTGTGGTAGGGGGTGTGCCGATGGGGAGAACTGTCATCTCTCCAAGGTGCTTTTAGCAGCGGCATTTGGCTTGTCAGCTGTGCTCGTGCTGCTGATGTTCGTCGCGTTTTTTGTGGATAAGGTTCTTACTAGAATCCTGGGGCATATCCAAGGTATGCGTCTGGTTCTGTGTGAACCATTGTACATAATGCATGGATGGAGGATTGTTGTGGTGGTGGTGGTAGTTTGACTTTGTCTCCCCCAGTCACTCGTCTGACGATATGATTTGCTCGTCTCAGTGTCCACACAAAGCCAATCAATAAAGAGAAGGCCTTCAGAGCGCTGTCTTGGCATCGACTGGAGATTCCACCTCTATGGCATGCGCCAGGTTTGTCGCATGTGGAAAGGTGGAAGGGTGGAGCTAGTTGCTGGAAATCCACCAGATTATGAAGTGAGGCACAGAGGTATGACGTTTTCGTTGTAGCAATTCGGGTTTTGCGCCATCTGTAAGGAGGAATTGGTGCACCTTACATGCCTAAAGCATGCAAAATGGGGAGCGGCATGTTCACCAGTAACGTGCTGCCGTCATGCCCATCCGTATGCATTTAAGTGGGAAAACTAGTGAAATGTCCTTTGAGAATTCAGATGTGAGAGGACTTTTAGTACCCGTAGTTTGTCTGTAATCAGCTAGTTAGAGCAACCATGGTCCTTACCGCAACTGCTTTCAGCGGAGGGCAAGAAATCCGTTTGTTCGCCTTCATAAGCGTCACACAGCTCTGCTATTGGTTCAGAACTTTCGAACAATCTGCATGTGCCCCAGGGCCTGCAGCGCTGTCAAGCACAACAGACCGCGCCGGAATATGACGGTCTGCAATTGGTGGAGGGTCAATTCGTCTATCTACACGTGTACCCTCACCTTACGTGTACTCCACGTGTCGCCTCCAGCTCACCGCGCAGCGCCTGGAAGGGTGACGGTGAGGGCGGACTGGACATCATGAAATCCGCAAGCTCAGCATTTCCCCCCTCCAACTCCGCGTGACTGGGAATCTATTCTCCATCCTCCTGCCCTTCCCCTTGGCGCCTGAAAGACACACCACACCTCGCTCTACCGCTCTCATTCTTCATTCTTCATTCTTCTTTCAGGTGGAGCCTGAAAGACATTCTCCGTTGAACCCCGGCCAGCCAAAACCACCTGATCTCACATTTCTTTCTCCCTTGTTCCTCTACTTGGGAGCAGTCCGTGTGATCATTTCTCGCTTTCTTGGAATTTCTTCCACATTCGCCAAGAAGAATGGCTCAAGCGACTTCCGTCGCGAGGGTGAACGTTGCCTGCGCCGCGCCAGCGAGCTCCGGCGCTGCTGCCAGGCCGCAGCGACAAGAGGCGTCGCTCGTGGCGTCATGGAGGAAGGCGCGCGTCGCTAGACCGGTGGTGCTCAGTGCCAGCGCGCAGGTGCAGGCCGCTCCTCGCGTGTCTGCACGCTCCGTAGCGGTCAAGGCATCAGCCGCCTCCGCCGACAATGTAAGCCATTCCTGTCCAGCTTTGACGTGTACGCATTGCTCGGCAGTGTCCAGCACTTGCAAACGGCTTGCGCTTGCTTTTGTCTTAAAAAAGCGCACGCGTTTCTTACCCGTCCGCGTACCCGTCTGCATACCCGTCCGCGTACTCGTCCGCTTACCGATCCGTCCGCATACTCGTGCGCTTCCCCTCCGTGCGGCCGTGCAGGCGGGAACCAATTACCACTTCCTGGTGGCGAACGCGACGTTTATGCTGGACGAGGAGGAGCACTTCCAGGAGCAGCTAAAGGAGCGGCTACGGTGGCTGGAGGAGAAGGGCATGGAGCAGAACTTCTGGCTCGTCTTCGAACCCAAGTTCCTCGACGAGTTCCCCGAGGTCGCCAAGCGCGTCAAGAGACCCGCCGTCGCGCTCGTCTCCACCGACGCCACCTGGATCACGTAAGCTCTTCTCTCCTGTCCTCTCTTTTCTTCTCCTCGCCTCCTCTTCCCCTCTCTTCTCCCCTCTTCTCTCCTCATCCGTCGTCTCTTCTCCTTCCATCCTCGTCTCCTTTCCTCCTCCCCTCTGTTCCCCTCTTCACCTCGCCTCCTCTCCTCTTCCTTCCACCTCGCCTCCTCTCCTTCCTTCCACCTCGCCTCCTCTCCTCTTCCTTCCACCTCGCCTCCTCTCCTCTTCCTTCCACCTCGCCTCACCTTCTTCCTTCCACCTCACCTCACCTCCTCTTCCTTCCACCTCGCCTCCTCTCCTCTCCTTCCACCTCGCCTCCTCTCCTCTCCTTCCACCTCGCCTCCTCTCCTCTTCCTTCCACCTCGCCTCCTCTCCTCTTCCTTCCACCTCGCCTCCTCCTCTTCCTTCCACCTCGCCTCCTGCTCTTCCTTCGGCCTCGCCTCCTCCTCTTCCTTCGGCCTCGCCTCCTCTCCTCTTCCTTCGGCCTCGCCTCCTCTCCTCTTCCTTCGGCCTCGCCTCCTCTCCTCTTCCTTCGGCCTCGCCTCCTCTCCTCTTCCTTCGGCCTCGCCTCCTCTTCTTCCTTCGGCCTCGCCTCCTCCTCTTCCTTCGGCCTCGCCTCCTCTCCTCTCCCTTCGGCCTCGCCTCCTCTCCTCTCCCTTCGGCCTCGCCTCCTCTCCTCTCCCTTCGGCCTCGCCTCCTCTCCTCTCCCTCCTCCTCCCTTCCCTTCGGCCTCGCCTCCTCTCCTCTCCCTTCGGCCTCGCCTCCTCTCCTCTCCCTTCGGCCTCGCCTCCTCTCCTCTCCCTTCGGCCTCGCCTCCTCTCCTCTCCCTTCGGCCTCGCCTCCTCTCCTCTCCCTTCGGCCTCGCCTCCTCTCCTCTCCCTTCGCCCTCGCCTCCTCTCCTCTCCCTTCGCCCTCGCCTCCTCTCCTCTTCTCTTGTCCTCGCTTTCCCTCCCGTTCGCTTGTCCTCGCTTTCCCTCCCGTTCGCTTGTCCTCTCCTTCCCTCCTGGTTCGCGTGACTGCCGCGTCACGCGCACGCGCGGCTTCGAACTGGGTCCCGCAAACACCGGGATGCCCAGGCGAACTGATCGTGATCGAGTCGCTATGCTGGAATACTGCCCATAAAAGCGAATCTATTGCTTTCTCATATGGCAATGCAAGGAATGCTGCTTCGTTGTGTCTTCGGTTAGGTCGGCAAGTTGCCTGCCTTCGACCACTTTTTTCTTCCTTCGACAGCCTCTTTGCTCTCCTTGCCTCTCTTCGAAAACAACTCACTCTCTATTAATGTCCTAAGTATTGTCTCTCTCTCGTTGTCTCTATCCTTCCTCTCCATTCCATTATTCGCCTTTTTGTATTATCTCTTTTTTCCTCGCTCTGCTCCTCTTCTACTGCACTACCCGTCTCTTCGATTCCCTCTACTCAGCTCTCCCTCCCCCTCTCGACTCCCACTTGACCTCCCCACCTCTCTTCTCTCTCTCCAATCCCCACCCCTCTCACCACTTCCATTCGTGGCTCGCATACTTAACCGCTCCCTCCGTCTCGTCCGCCACTCTTGGCGCTCGCCCCGCCCCCGTGTGCGAGCAGGTCCGTGAAGCTGCCGCAGGACCGCGCGCTCAAGGGCGAAATTGAGCCTCGGTTCACGCGACAACGGGTTTTGAGAGCAATCTCCCAACTCGTATGCCCTTCGTCGTCTTTCCCCCCCCCCTCCCCCCCTCTCCCCCTCTCCCCCCTTCCCCCACTCGGTGCTGCAGGTTCATGAAGCTGCGTCTGGACCGCGTGCTCAAGGGCGAGTTCGAGGCGAGCTCGGATGACGACGCGACGGAGGGCAAGCCGTTCGACATCTCGTTCCCCAAGCCCGCCAACTGGGTTGCGCCGTACCCCAAGTACCAGCCCGACTGGTGGAAGCCCTATGCCCCGGCCAAGTACGCCAAGGCCAAGTAGACGGGCTGGGTTAGGGGTGTGGAGGGGCGTGGAGGGGTGCGGAGTGGGTCTTACCTAGTAATGTGCTGCTATGAGTGACTTGTTGTCAGGCTTGACAAATTTTGCTGCTATGAGTTTTTCATACACGGTAGTCAATCAAGGAGACGTGCTGTGCTGTGTAACGCACCTGCAATAACAGCCTCAATTTGGCTGAGGGCCTGTTAGGTACGTACTGTTACAGGGCTGTGTGTAGCTTCATCCCCCGAGTAACACACATTCACTCCAGGGAAGCAAGCATCGCTCTGCTACCTTCAATTCTACCAACTAAGTTGCACAAGATACTGCCTTGCCTAGGGATCCAGCAGGGTAGCAAACATCTCTCTACTGCCTTCACCCCAGCTAGCTAAGATTCCGAAGATATGGCCTTGTGATGCCTGTGCTTAGCAGCATGGCAACCTTACATGTGTGGTATCATCCTTCTCACAAAGAGACATTTTCGTGCAGACAGGCCATACAGATATGCACAGCTCACAATTTCTATCCGTTCAACTTCTTGTGGCTCAACCTATGCATGCACTTCTAGCCGCACTTTCCCCGGGGGCTAAGTGGAACAGTGCCTCACAGAGCGCCAGCAGGTCCCTCGGCCTCAGCTGCTCGGGTCTCTCCCTCCCCTTGCTGTAATCCCTCCTCACCATCCCCTCCACCATTCCTCTCGGCACCCCTTTCTCGCCTTCCAACCCTGGACCCCCTTCAACCTCTTTCAACCCATCCATCCCGCCCATCCCCTCCACCCCACGCATTGCGCCCACCATGCCGCCCACGATCGCTGCATTCGTGTCGGTGTCCCCACCTCGCACCAGCGTGTCCTCGATCGCCTCCTCGTACCCAGACCCCCGCAGCAGGTGGTAGAAGGCGAGCATGAAGCCCCACTTCACCCACCCGATTGACCGCCTGCACTCCACCTGCAACCCACATGGCCTGCTGCCGCTGTGCTTGCTTGCGACATTGCCTTGTGTATGCCTCATGCCCCCCTGCCCTCCTCCTCTGTCCTCCTGCTCCCCTGCCTCTCCGCCCTCTCCTGCCTCTCCACCCTCTCCCGGTCCTCTGTTTGCATCTCCTCCAATTGCTCCTACCCCCCTTGCCCCTTTCCCCTCCTTCCCCCCATCCCTCCCCTCAGCCCCCGCCGCTCTGTGCTTTCTTCCCCCCAGTGCGCCCATGACCTGCTGAAGCGCCTGCTTGCCCCACCCACCAGACTGCCTGCCCTGCACCCCCTCTCCTCCTGCGCTCCCTCCTGCACTCCCTCTGCCTGCCACTGCAACACACCCACTCGCTCCATCCATGCCCCTCCCTTTCTCACCCTGCCCTTCACCCTTCCCTTCCCCACTCCTCTCCTCTGCCACTGCTGCCCGCACCTCCTCCAGCCACTCCCGTACTGTCTCCGCCCCTCCCCCTTCCCCTCCCCCTTCCCCTCCCCCCTCCCCTCCCCCTCCCCCGCCCCTCTCCACTTCCCCTGCTGCCCAGCGCACAGCACCCTCAAACGCGCCCTCCGCATCCCCAGGGTGGTTGATGAGGTGCGCGATGGCAACACAATACGCAGCATTGGCGGCGCGGCACACCGGGTTGCAGTGCGACAGGGACGCGTCCAGAGCAGCCCAGCGCGCGACGGCTTCCGGCGGCAGGCGGTGCGCCCACACGGCAAGCGGGGTGGCCCTCATAAGCGCGCCGTTGGCTTGGCTGTCAGAGCAAGTTGCAGCGTTCGTCTGCATTTGCTTCACTAGTAACTTCTCGTCCTCCTCCTGCATCTGCCGTCGCTTCTGCCGCATCCTCTCCTCATCCTCCGCTTGTTGCTCTGGCGTTCTGTTCGCCGGTGGGAAGATGGTCGAGAGAACAATTTCCGTGTCGACTTGGAAGGTGAGGGGGAATCTGAACGCAGTTGCGCACGTTCCGCCGATGTCGAACGGCTGCGAGTGCGCCCACCAGTGGTACGCCCGCGCCACGCGCCCCAAGGGGAACCTGCCCTCCCAGTACCCCTCGCGCGCTGCTCCCGCTGCTCCCGCTGCTAGCAGCGCAGCACCGCCGCTTCCCGGTTCCGCCGCGGGCTCGCTTCCCCGCGATGGGCCATCCCCCGCGCTGAGAGGTGCGCCTGCGGGGGGAGGTGCGTCCGGAGGAAAAGGGCCACTCGTGATGTTAGCGGGCGCGCGCGTGATGAGGGCGCGCGCGAGGCAGAGCGCGAGCTCGCTGTCGTCCGTGATCTGGCCGGGGCCCACTCTAAAGACGCCGCCGCCCGGCATCGCCATGGCTCGGCGCGCTAAAGCTGGGGTGACGGCGCCCGGGGCGAACTCTAGGACTGCCCCTGCCGCGTCGCCCACGAACGCGCCGACTATGGCGCCGGTGGCGCGGGAGAGCGCGAGGGAGTTAGAGGGGGAGTGGGAGTCCGACATGGTGGTGCGGAAACTATGCGACGGCGGTGATTGTAAGAAGGCTCGAGAAAGGTAGAACGCGCGGAAACTGACGGCGACTGCTGCCACTGCTGGCAACTTATGCCTCGCCGCGCCACTGCAGCCTGTACGATCTCCTGGACCATTTCCTCGCCAGGAAATTCAACTCGGTTCTGATAGGTCGCGAGCATTTTCTGCGTTTGGGAGTCCCAACTTGGGACGAGGCCAGGGCGGACCATATTGGAAGTGAAATGCACGGGAAGAATCCGTTTGAACGAGGTTCAAGTTCAGCCGCAGTGTATGGGGGGCGTGTTCCAGAAAAACGTTTGAGTACGGTGGAGTACGTTTCTTTGCTAATAAGAAGTTCACAATACAATATAAAATGGTTGGATGGGGTATTTGGGCATCTGATTGGTTACGTTCGGTCCTGATGTCAAAATTCGTATCTCTGTGTTCCGGTTGGTTACATTCGAGCATTCCCCTTCAAATAAAAGAGCTTCACACCCCATTGATACTAAGCATATGAGTTTTCCAGTGGTACGATTTTTTTATTGTCATACATGAACCGTTTTAATGAGTTTTTTAAAAAAAATAAAAACATGCATTATGTGTATCCATATTTCACTAATTTCAATTAGCTGCTGTTGGCGTGCCCTTATCGCTATGAATGGGTGCAGTAATGTGACTTATCGCGGATCATGCACCTTGGGGCCATCCCAGTACAGCGCAATCTCCAAGGTGCCATGTCAGACAGACCAGTGCAGGAACCTTTCGCACCGCACCAGATTCCCCCGCATTCATTCATTTTCCTCCTCTCCGCTTCGTTCGGTTGGCTCGTTGTCATTCATTCATCCACTAGCTCCTAACGCAGCGAGACAGCCTCCTTATTTTACTCTCACCTCCCTCCCTGCGCGCTTCACCTTCTTAGAATTTCACGCACGCACGCGACCGATCCACTGTAGGTCGTCGTAAACTTCCAGCAGACGCTGCGGTTTCCTTCCTCGCTATCGCCTCACATTTCGTGCGTTCGATCATCGTTCGCCACTCCCTCTCCTCTCACATCCTGCTCCACAAATGGCGCTCCTTTCCACGACCCTAGTCTCGTCCTCCGTAAAGCCCATGTTCGCGTCTCTTAAATCCTCTGAATTCTCGTGCCACGGATCGAGCCTAGCAGACGCCGGGTTGACGGCGTCCCTCCCCGCGATTCGCGGTGGCGGAAGGAGGACGCTGCGCGCGGTAGCGGCCAGCGGGAACGGGGCTGCGCGGACGGCGGATGAGGTGGCGGCGGAAAGCGGAGCGGGCAGCATGGACGTGAGCAGCACGTGCGTGAATCCCGTGTTCCGCTCCTTCCCCAGCCTCAAGGTGCGCACCGCTCTCTTCCCCAATCTCAAGGTGCGTGCGAGCCCGCCGCCAATGCTTTTGAGGCGCTTCAAAAGCAGTCCCAGCCTCAAGGTGCGCACGAGCCCGCCGCCAATGCGCTCCCCTGCCCAGCCCAGGGATGAAGCGCGCGCTCATGTTTCGCCGCCTCGACCTGCGCCCGCCTCGCGCGCATATCCGCTCCACAGTGTTGCGTGGCCGACATTCCCTTTCCATGGGGTCATGGGGCCATGGGGCCATGGGGCCATGGGGCCATGGGGTCATGGGGCCATGGGGGCGTGGGGCCGTGGGGCCGTGGGGCCGTGGGGCCGTGGGGCCGTGGGGCCGTGGGGCCGTGGGGCCGTGGGGCCGTGGGGCCGTGGGGCCGTGGGGCCGTGGGGCCGTGGGGCCGTGGGGCCGTGGGGCCGTGGGGCCGTGGGGCCGTGGGGCCGTGGGGCCGTGGGGCCGTGGGGCCGTGGGGCCGTGGGGCCGTGGGGCCGTGGGGCCGTGGGGCCGTGGGGCCGTGGGGCCGTGGGGCCGTGGGGCCGTGGGGCCGTGGGGCCGTGGGGCCGTGGGGCCGTGGGGCCGTGGGGCCGTGGGGCCGTGGGGCCGTGGGGCCGTGGGGCCGTGGGGCCGTGGGGCCGTGGGGCCGTGGGGCCGTGGGGCCGTGGGGCCGTGGGGCCGTGGGGTCAGGGGGCCATGGGGCCAGGTTCATGGGGCCATGGGGTCTGAGGTCCATGGGGTCATGGCGTCTGGGGTCCATAGGGTTCTCTGGGCTGTTCAGGGCCGTTGGATCGCGTTACCCGTGGCCGCTGCGAGCATCTTACCCGCGCACTCTCTCGTCCCCTCGGCCCCACCCCAATCCCCCCCTCCTGCAGGAGGGCGACGGCAACGCGGACGGCCCCGGCGGGCGCACGGCGGTGCGCGTGCTGTTCCTCAGCGAGGGCAACGTGTGCCGCAGCGTGGTGGCGGAGGCCGTCATGGCCGCCATGGTCAGGGACAAGGGGCTGGAGGACTACATCCAGTGCGCCTCCAAGGTGCGCGCATAGGGAGCGAGGGGAGGGGGATGGGGGGGAGGCGGGGGATGGGGGCCGGGGGATCTGGCCTCGGAGCGCGTGGTGGCGGAGGCTGTCATGGCCGCCATGGTCAGGGACAAGGGGCTGGAGGACTACATCCAGTGCGCCTCCAAGGTGCGCGCATAGGGAGCGAGGGGAGGGGGATGGGGGCCGGGGGATCTGGCCTCGGAGCGCGTGGTGGCGGAGGCTGTCATGGCCGCCATGGTCAGGGACAAGGGGCTGGAGGACTACATCCAGTGCGCCTCCAATCTGCGGACGGGGGTTGGGGGGTTTGAGAGGGGGGGGGGGGTTTGAGAAGGTGGGGGGGGGGTTTGGTGGGTGGGGATCTGGAATGGCCTGTAGGCGCGTGGTGGTTGGGGCCGTGATGGGCGCCATGTTCAGGGACAAGGGGCTGGAGGATTACATCCATTGCGCCTCCAAGGTGCGCGCATAGGGAGCGAGGGGAAGTGGGTGGGGGAGGGGTGTGGGGGGGGATATATGGGGGGAAGGGAGATGTGCGGGGCGGGGAATCTGGCCTGTAAGCGCGTGGTGGCGGAGGCCGTGATGGGCGCCATGGTCAGGGAGAAAGGGCTGGAGGACCACATCCACTGCGGCTACAAGGTGCGCGCGGGTGGGGGGAGAACGTGCGGGGGGAGAGAGGGGGTTGGGGATCTGGAATCGCCTCTAAACGCGTGATGGCGGGTGCCGTGATGGGCGCCATGGTCAGCGACAAGGGGCTGCAGGACCACATCCACATCTAACGCGCCTCCAAGGTCCATGGGGCCATGGTGGGGTGACTGCTGAGGAGCGTCTATCTCTGCGCCTCAAAAATCACGACTGGCGCAGCGTGGCAGTGGGGAACGTACCTTTTACGGGTGGGTAGATATCTCGGGTCGGGGGAAGAGAGAACTGAGGAAAGGGAGAGGGAGCGGATGGGAGGAGGGAAATAGGGAGAGCGGTATGTGACCTGCTTCTTCTTCCATCTCCTGAAATCCAACCCCTTCCTTCCCTCCCTTCCCTTCCCCCCCCCCCCTCTCCCCTTTCCTCTCCTCTCCCCTTCCCCCCCACCTTCCCCTTCCCTGGACCCGTTTATTCCCCCCCGCGGCCGCCCACAGGCGGTGCGCGACTACAACGTGGGCGAGAGCCCGGACTCGCGCGTGGTGCAGCTGGCGGGGCAGAGTGGCGTGGCGGTGGAGGGGAGCAGGCGCGCGGAGCTGCTGCGCCCCGTGGAGGACGTGGTGGCGTACGACGTGCTGGTCGTCATGGACAAGGTGGGGGGGGGGGAGGTGCGATGGGGGGAGGTGCGATGGGGGGAGGTACGATGGGGGGAGGTGCTGTGGGGGATGAGTTCAGTTCAGTGTCCTGGGATTGACTAAGTGCAACTGGATCAGTAAGGCACACATAATTGAAGGTTAGATGGGCATGAGGTGAGATGGATATAAGGTGAGGTGGATAGGTTGTGAGATGGGTATGATGAGAAATGGCTAAAGGTGAGATGGGTATGATGTGGGATGGGTATGAGGTGGGATGGTGGGTGGAGTGAGGCGATTCGATGGTGCAGCATCTCAGAGGGGACGAAGGAGGAGAAGAGAGTGCATGCAGAGCGGTTGGGATTTTGGACCGAAGACAATGGGTGGGAATAACAGAGTCGCACGCATGTGGAAGGATCATGCATGCACTCCGACGCATGCATGCTCTCCCATGCATGCACGCACTCCCCATGCATGCACGCACTCCCATGCATGCACGCACTCCCATGCATGCATGCGCTCCCACGCATGCATAGAAATATTTGCTTGGTGCTACTTTTGGGCTGGGATCATGCACAGGTGGGCAAGTGAATGGTGATGTCTGCGTCAAGGCATGAGCAAAGTCTCGTTAATTCCTCGTTCCGGCAACATGTCACGTGCCACTCATGCAACCCCCATGAAACACCCTGAGTATCGTGCATCACCCATGTGTCAACCGTGTACCCCCATGTACCCCCATGTACCCCCATGTACCCCCATGTACCCCCATGCGGCCCCATGCGCCCCCCCCTGCAGTTCAACGCGGCGGACGTGCTGAAGGAGGTGTCTGTGTTTGACACCATCGACCCCTCCGCGCGCTTCTCCTCCAAAGTCAGGCGCATGGGCGACTTCTGCAAGTCTCGAGTGGTCAGGCCTCTCTCCCTCCCTCCATCCATCCCCTTCGGCCTTTCCACATGCTGCTCTCTGCTGCTTTAATTCTGTTAACTTGCCTACCATCTTTTCGTGCCGTAGCCCTCTCTCTCTCTCTGTCCCTCTTTAATGTGCTCTCTCTCTCACTCGCTCGTTCTCTCCCACACGCACTCGGCCGTGCGTCCGTCCTCTCTCTCCTCGCCCCACTTCTCTCACCTCTCGCCTCTCGCCTCCCCTTCCGCCCTCCAGGTGGACGACATAGACGACCCTCTGTACGGCAACATGGGAGGCCCGGAGGAGCTGGTACGCCACTCTCCCCTCTCTCCTGCCCACTTCCTTTCACCACTCTCCCTCCATGCTTTCAAATGTCGAAACGCGAGACCCAGTGGGTTCATCATCGTGCATCCTGCGTGCTGGTGCTGATTGGCTCGTCGCTTCGAATCCCTCGGCTTTCGTCTCGACCCACCTTCCTGTTCTTCGCAACCAAAAACAAGTGCTCGTTCCCCTGCTGCCCTGCCCTGGGCTCATGCTCATACCTTAAAGCCCGACCGGGAGCAACAAGTGCTCGTTCACTTGTTGGCTGACGAGCAACAAGTGCTCGTTCCCCTGCTGCCCCGCCCTGTGCTCATGCTCATACCTTACTACCCCACTCCCCCCCCTCCTTTTCCTGCACGTCGCTGTTGGCCTGCCTGGCCCCCCTCCACCCCCCGTCCCGGCGTCTCTCCCACTGCTTGCCCGCCTCCCTTCTGGCGCATCCCTCCGTTGCTGCACCGCCCCCCCAGGAGCTGCTGGGGGCAGCCATCAATGACATAGTGGACTGCTGTGATGGGCTACTCGCAGACCTAGTGGCCGTCAAAAATGGGCTCCCAGGTAGGTTGCTCGGCAGGGCATGGCATGGGTCTGGACATGGCATATCATGGGGTGTCGTATGGCGTAGGTTGTGGCATGGCATGCGCCTGTTTCCCCCAACCTCTGGAGTTGCATCTCAATGGCTGCAGTTCCCTTTCAGAGCTTGTATCGGATGGTAAATGCGACTAGGAGTTGCAGAGGAGCTTTGACTAAAGCATTAGCATCCACAATCATCTGTGCTACAAGTTTTCACCCATCGTTTCTTCCCTCCGTGTGTGTTCAGAGGGGGAGAGCTTCCGGTCGGGGGTGAAGAAATGGCTACAAGGCATGGATGACATGGACTGGCTCGTCCCGCCCATGCTGCAAAAGAAGAACCGCAATTAATATGCAATCTAGCATTTTTGTAGGTCACAGATTTGTAATTTGATCATTCCTGCTGTAATGCCATTCGTTTTAGAGTTCCCCTTCTCAAATAGGCTCGCTATTCCGTCCTTGTTGGGGACCTTGGGAATATACACGTCACGTCACACGCTACGGAGAACTCCCCGTCACCCTTCCACTTCGGGTTTTGGGCGAGACAAACCCCTCGTCAAAATCCCACAAACGCCTTTCCCATTGCAAAAAAAGAACAGAAACTTGGGCTTTCCTTCAGAACCCTACCCAACCGTCATGAATACCTGGAGAACGCACAGGACCTAGTAGGACCCTGCGCTGATTCTCCCAGACCCCCTTGTCCCGCTGTGAAGGACATTCGAGGGAAGCGAGGCACAAATTGGCGCACGAAAATGTGAAACCAGCCATGCAGCAGCCCCAGAAATATCCAGTACAGTACAGGCCAGGATGACATAAACCAGACCAGGCAGAACCAGGGTACAGTATTCAATCTAACCATCACGGATGCACCCACCCGCACACATCTCCTCGGTAGTACAGCTTCTCTTCTATTTTGTTCCACGTTTTTCACACGCGGCTCGATCCTGTAAACAGGAAATGGTAAAACACGGGCAAACGGGACCTTGAAAGAAATGGTAAAACACGGGCAAACGGGAAAACCCACAGTAAACACTGTCACTTGGTTACAAAATCTCGCTCATGCACTGCATTAGTTGCCTGCGCGATGTCCCAGCTCTGAAACTCTCAATTGTCGAAACTCGACTTGGCTGTTCGCTATCGTTGAGACTGCAGCCAATCAGGTTCAGTGTCAACGCGAGTCATGCTGAGAGCCTGGTAGGTGGGATTGCAATCTGGACTGTTCTGGGTGGAACGATAGAGGGAAACAGGTGTATCAACGCCGCTTGCCGTCCCTCAAGTTCTTTACGAGGAGAACGGGGCAGAATACCTTGGTGCAATGCGTCTAGCACTAACTTCCTGATCCCGTTTCCCTTCGCATGCCCAAGCACGAGCACCCCGACCCGACCCGACCCGATGCGAGCCGATGAAGCATGAGGAGACTCCTGCCGCGTTTCCCGTTTCCGTCGCTCGTGCTTCCCGCGCCGCGCTGCTCTCCGCCTACTGCTCATGCCGCTAAACCCAAACCTCTCGCGTCATTTAACTCGCCTCTTAGGACTTCCCGACCGCCATCCGCGCGCGGCCTTTGCGCGCTTCTGACCACTCCGTCGCCTGCGTCCGTAGCACTTGCTAACAGGGTGTTTATTTCGCGTCCTTTCCATCTAGGAACTTCCGCCGCCTTTTCCCCCCAAGCCCGCTGCGGCTTCCCCCGCCTTCCGCGTGTTCCCCCGCGTCATCCCCCCTCTCCTTCCGCCACATTTTGCGCGAACGGCTCTAACGCCCAGCCGCGTCGTCATTGCAGGCTGCCTATTGTTTCTACCTCCTTTCATCGCATCCTCACTTCTCCGTCGAATCGCGCGTCTAGGCCCTTCGCCACGTGGACTGCCGGCTCCACATCCCGTCAGTTCGACATATCTCCGTCCATCTTTCCACGCTTCGTCTCGCCAAACAGCGCAGCGTACATTCCGCGCCCCTCCCCGCGCGCCTTATCTAGCGAGTCCTCCGAGCCGCCGCGCGAGTTAGCCTGCGGCGCGGGGGAGAAGGCGGCGGAAAGAGTATCGACAAGGGAGGAGGAAGCGGGGGTGCCAGGGTGGGTACCTGACGGAAGTAGGCTGTGCGATTCGATTATAGGCGCCGCCGATTCGGCCGTTGAATCCGATTCAGCGATAGAGTCCGATTTGGGCCCAACGCAAGGCGCGCTCGTGGCTGCGGAAAGCGCGCCGGAAATCGCGCCGGAAATCGCGGCGAAAATCTCGGCAGAGAGCGCGGCGGGGTCGGTGCTAGTGGAGATGGACGTGGTGCGCGGAAACTTCGAGGAAGGTCTGGCGGCGTTCGAGGCGGCTTTAAAAACGTGCGACCTGGTGGCGTTCGACGGCGAGTTCACGGGGCTCCACGTCAGCAACACCAGCAACTACGGGTAATGCCAAGCATAATAAAGCCGGAACCAATGTCGGGGTGTTAGCAATATTTTTCCGATCTTCGATATGTGCCAGGGATTAGTTGTCATGGAAGAGTAGCAGCAGCGTAGGAAGGTCGCGTTAGCAAAAAACTGACAGTTAGATAGGGATGCATGCTAGAGAAGCGTGTTGCCCCTCCTCTCCCTTCCCTCTCCCTTCCCTCTCCCTTTCCCTCTCCCTTCCCTCTCCCTTTCCCTCTCCCTTCCCTCTCCCTTCCCTCTCCCTTCCCTCTCCCTTCCCTCTCCCTTCCCTCTCCCTTCCTCTCCCTTCCCTCTCCCTTCCCTCTCCCTTCCTTTCCCTTTCCCTCTCCCTTCCCCTCTCCCTTTCCCTCTCCCTTCCCTCTCCCTTTCCCTCTCCCTTTCCCTCTCCCTTTCCCTCTCCCTTTCCCTCTCCCTTTCCCTCTCCCTTCCCTCTCCCTTTCCCTCTCCCTTTCCCTCTCCCTTCCCTCTCCTTTCCCTCTCCCTTTCCCTCTCCCTTTCCCTCTCCCTTTCCCTCTCCCTTTGCCTCTCCCTTCCCTCTCCCTTTCCCTCTCCCTTTCCCTCTCCCTTCCCTTTCCCTTTCCCTCTCCCTTTCCCTCTCCCTTCCCTCTCCCTTTCGCTCTCCCTTTCCCTCTCCCTTTCCCTCTCCCTTTCCCTCTCCCTTTCCCTCTCCCTTTCCCTCTCCCTTTCCCTCTCCCTTTCCCTCTCCCTTTCCCTCTCCCTTCCCTATCCCTTTCCCTCTCCCTTTCCCTCTCTCCCTTCCCTCTCCCTTCCTCTCCCTTTCCCTCTCCTTTCCCTCTCCCTTCCTCTCCCTTTCCCTCTCCCTTTCCCCTCTCCCTTTCCCTCTCCCTTTCCCTCTCCCTTTCCCTCTCCCTTTCCCTCTCCCTTTCCCTCTCCCTTTCCCTCTCCCTTTCCCTCCCCTTCCCTCTCCCTTTCCCTCTCCCTTCCCTCTCCCTTTCCCTCTCCCTTTCCCTCTCCCTTTCCCTCTCCCTTCCTCTCCCTTTCCTCTCCTTTCCCTCTCCCTTTCCCTCTCCCTTTCCCTCTCCCTTTCCCTCTCCCTTTCCCTCTCCCTTTCCCTCTCCCTTTCCCTCTCCCTTTCCCTCTCCCTTTCCCTCTCCCTTTCCCTCTCCCTTTGCCCTCTCCCTTCCCTCTCCCTTTCCCTCTCCCTCTCCCTCTCCCTTTCCCTCTCCCTTTCCCTCTCCCTTTTCCCTCTCCCTTCCCTCTCCCTTTCCTCTCCCTTTCCCTCTCCCTTCCCTCTCCCTTTCCCCTCCTTCCCTCTCCCTTCCCTCCCTTTCCCTCTCCCCCCTCTCCCTTTCCCTCTCCCTTTCCTCTCCCTTTCCCTCTCCCTTTCCCTCTCCCTTTCCCTCTCCTTTCCCTCTCCCTTTCCCTCTCCCTTTCCCTCTCCCTTTCCCTCTCCTTTCCCTCTCCCTTTCCTCTCCCTTTCCCTCTCCCTTTCCCTCTCCCTTTCCCTCTCCCTTTCCTCTCCCTTTCCCTCTCCCTTTCCTCTCCCTTCCCTCCTCCCTTTTCCCTCTCCCTTTCCCTCTCCCTTTGCCCTCTCCCTTCCCTCTCCCTTTCTCCCTCTCCTCCCTTTCCCCCTCTCCCTTTCCCTCTCCCTTTCCCTCTCCCTTCCCTTTCCCTTTCCCTCTCCCTTTCCCTCTCCCTTCCCTCTCCCTTTCGCTCTCCCTTTCCCTCTCCCTTTCCCTCTCCCTTTCCCTCTCCCTTTCCCTCTCCCTTTCCCTCCTCCCTCTCCCTCTCCCTTTCCCTCTCCCTTTCCCTCTCCCTTTGCCTCTCCCTTCCCTCTCCCTTTCCCTCTCCCTTTCCCTCTCCTTTCCCTCTCCCTTTCCCTCTCCCTTTGCCTCTCCCTTCCCTCTCCTTTCCCTCTCCCTTTCCCTCTCCCTTTCCCTCTCCCTTTCCCTCTCCCTTCCCTCTCCCTTTCCCTCTCCCTTTCCCTCTCCCTTCCCTCTCCCTTTGCCTCTCCCTTTCCCTCTCCCTTTCCCTCTCCCTTTCCCTCTCCCTTTGCCTCCCCTTCCCTCTCCCTTTCCCTCTCCCTTTCCCTCTCCCTTTCCCCTCTCCCTTTCCCTCTCCCTTTCCCTCTCCCTTCCCTCTCCCTTTCCCTCTCCCTCTCCCTCTCCCTTTCCCTCTCCCTTTCCCTCTCCCTTTGCCTCTCCCTTCCCTCTCCCTTTCCCTCTCCCTTTCCCTCTCCCTTTCCCTCTCCCTCTCCCTTCCCTCTCCCTTTCCCTCTCCCTTTCCCTCTCCCTTTCCCTCTCCCTTTCCCTCTCCCTTCCCTCTCCCTTCCCTCTCCCTTTCCCTCTCCCTTTCCCTCTCCCTTTCCCTCTCCCTTGCCTCTCCCTTCCCTCTCCCTTTCCTCTCCCTTTCCCCCCCTTTCCTCTCCCTTTCCCTCTCCCTTTCCCTCTCCCTTTCCCTCTCCCTTTCCCTCTCCCTTTCCCTCTCCCTCCCTCTCCCTTTCCCTCTCCTCTCCCTCTCCCTTTCCCTCTCCCTTCCCTCTCCCTTTGCCTCTCCCTTCCCTCTCCCTTTCCCTCTCCCTTTCCCTCTCCCTTTCCCTCTCCCTTTCCCTCTCCCTTGCCTCTCCCTTCCCTCTCCCTTTCCCTCTCCCTTTCCCTCTCCCTTTCCCTCTCCCTTTCCCTCTCCCTTCCCTCTCCCTTTCCCTCTCCCTTTCCCTCGTGTATCCTGGTGTTGCATTGCAACTCCTCCGTCCCACCCTCTCAAGCGGTCTTTCGTATTCATTAGAGTCCTGTGTACAGCGCTAGGCAGGCGAGGTGAGTACAAGCATGCATCCCACCCTCTCTCTCTCTCGAACGGTCCTTCATTGCTGGGAGATCCTGGGTACAGGCGAAGCATATAAGGTAGGTACAAGCATGCATGGTGTTCCTGGTCTTGCTCCTTGTCCCCGGCTATTCCCTGGGGTGCTCAATGACCGCGAAGCAGTCCCCAAGGGACATGCCCGCCTCAGGGGCACCTAGGGGCGGCCACTCGAGTGGTGAAGCCTCATTCACCTTCCCGAGGTAGGTGAGGGCTTGTCCCCGCTGGAGGGTGACGGACCACCGCTGGCGAAACTGATTTAGCAGTTTTGCCGCTTGGTAGGAGCTGGGGTCAGCGTTGAAGAGGCGGCGGGCGGCTGTGTGCGCCAGGAGTTTGAGGAAGGTTGGTACCTCGGCGCAAGGGCAGCCGTAGGTCTCGACCGCCAGCGGGAAGAAACCGACATACGCCGCCCTGTGGCGGTAGTCGTGGATCTTTTTGTCAGCTTGTTCTCGGGCCATGTAACCTCGGCCCTTGCGGGCCAGGGGATCCCGAGAGCTTACTGGGTCAGTGACGGTGACGTCACAAATCCAGACCGCCCCCGAGTCCCGGTCTCGTACAGCGAGGTCGGCGGTTTTGCCGTCAACGGGGTTGTAGATCGCAGTCTCCTTTGTGACTATGAGCTGCGCGTCCCAGCCCATGCGAATGCATTCGTCACGGAGGGCATTGTGGGTGTCGGTTCGGCCGTGCCCTGTCCCGCAGCGGAAGAGGTGGTTTGGGAGGCGTGGGTCCTCGATTACCACCCGTTTGGCGCAGTTGCAGACTCTGGGTGCAGGGAAAGGGAGGCCCATACGGAAGGCCAGGGCTATGGCAAAATGTGGGGGTGCCAGGCGGAGCGAGGGGAAGAGGGGATGGCGAGGAGCCAGTCGCCGGCGCCGTACCCGGTGAGGGAGAGAAGTCTCTGTGTGTGGCCGCTGAGGGGGTTGGGGTCCATCTCCCTTGACGCGGTCAGCTGGCTGGCGAAACGGGCGGCGTGTACCTCCAGAGCCAGGCGGTGCTGGAGCGGGTCGTCAGTGGGCTCTGCCTGTTCGGCTTGGAGGAGTTTCAAGGCTGGGGCTGGGAGGGCCGCCTCGCACTCCGCCAGCCAGGTATGTAGAGGGGTAGGGCCAGTGAAGGGGGGAGCCAGGAAGCAAGCGGCGGTTGCGAGCGGGCCGGTCGGGTCCGAGGGCAGGGAGACCAGGAGCTGGTGGGCCTGGGTGACGCTGGTAAGGAAGGCATGGGGTCCTTCCATGGTGGGGTCCGTGAGACCCAAACCGCCGAGTGAGGGGGGCAGAGATGCTTGCTGCCAAATGCGCGACGATTCTCGTTCCCCCCTGGGGAGCTGGAGTTTGCACGCACGGAGGAGGGTGTAGAAGAGCTCTTGGCCCCACCGGGACCACTCCTCTGCGGGCAGCAGGTTGAGTGGGGTGGTGCGGGTGAGGTAGGATACCCGCCGCGAGACACAGCGGTGGAGGAGGAGGGCGGCGGACTGGGGGTCCATGGCAGCCAGGGTGGGGAGCGGGCTGGCCATGTCGGCCAGCTGCTCTCGGAGGAAGGCAGTTGTGGCCTCGGGTGGGCCGACATGGCTCCCGAGGATGCGCAGGCCATTGGCGTGGAAGGGAATGCCAGGGGGGAGGAGGGAGGCGGGGGGCTGGGAGGAGGACCAGGCCGCTCATTTGGAGGGGTTGTGCGTTAGGCCCAGGGGGCGCAGGGCTTCTGTGAGGTGCGTGAATGCCGCTGCGCACGCAGAGGGTTCCCCCAAGAGCGTGATGTCGTCGGCGTACGCCAGGCAGAGGACGCTGGGGAACGCTGCGGCCGTCGCCTGGAGTGCTGGGTGTATGGCCGCCGCGAAGAGCAGGGGCCCCATTGGGTCTCCTTGCCGTACTCCCCGGGCGCTAAGGAGCGGCCCGCTGTTGAAGCCCGCGTCGAGGTAGAGGTGGGACGGGGCGCCGTAGGAGAGCTGAACGAAGGGGAGCAGCGGTCGGAGGGGCGAGTAGGCCGGCTACGATCGCTGCCCTTTCGGCGCTGTTGAAGGCGTTGGAAAGGTCGACCTGGAGTAAGAGGGCGGAGGGGAATTCTGCGGCGGGAATTCTGCGGAGGGGAATTCTCTCTCTCTCTCTCTCTCTCTCTCTCTCTCTCTCTCTCTCTCTCTCTCTCTCTCTCTCTCTCTCTCTCTCTCTCTCTCTCTCTCTCTCTCTCCCCCCTCCCCCCCCATCCCCCTGCCGCTTCGACCCTTCGCCCTTTGCCTGGCCTCTCCCCCCTGTCCTTGCCATCCCATTCCATCCCCCTCGTCTGCCCCTCTCCATGCGCGTCGTCTTCCTCCTCTCCCCCCGCCTGCGTGCATGTGCGCCCCTTCACCCCCCTGTTTCCCGCTGGCTCTCCCCCCTCTCCGCCCTCTGTGTGCCCATGTGCTTCTCACCCTGTCCTCCTGTCCTCCGGTCCCCCTGGTCCCCCGCCCCCGGTCCCCCGGTCTCCTGTGCGCCGTGTGCGCGTCCCCCCAGGCTGCAGGTGCTGGACTCGCCCCAGCAGAGATACGAGCGGGTGCGGGAGGGTGCGAAGAGCTTCTTCACCATGCAGGTGGGGGCGGGGGGAGGGGGAGGGGAGGGATGAGGGAGTGAGGAGGGGAGGGAGGGAGTAAGGAGAGAAGGTAGAGAGTACGGGCATGTGTGAGGACATTTCAGAGCAGGGGAACGGACAGCAGCTAGGAAGGAAATGTAGTAGGAGGGGAGGTAGGGAGGGGAGGTAGGGAGGGGAGAAGGTAGGGGGGGGAGAAGGTAGGGAGGGGAGAAGGTAGGGAGGGGAGAAGGTAGGGAGGGGAGAAGGTAGGGAGGGGAGAAGGTAGGGAGGGGAGAAGGTAGGGAGGGGAGAAGGTAGGGAGGGGAGAAGGTAGGGAGGGGAGAAGGTAGGGAGGGGAGAAGGTAGGGAGGGGAGAAGGTAGGGAGGGGAGAAGGTAGGGAGGGGAGAAGGTAGGGAGGGGAGAAGGTAGGGAGGGGAGAGGGTAGGGAGGGGAGAAGGTAGGGAGGGGAGAAGGTAGGGAGGGGAGAAGGTAGGGAGGGGAGAAGGTAGGGAGGGGAGAAGGTAGGGAGGGGAGAAGGTAGGGAGGGGAGAAGGTAGGGAGGGGAGAAGGTAGGGAGGGGAGAAGGTAGGGAGGGGAGAAGGTAGGGAGGGGAGAAGGTAGGGAGGGTGGGATGGAGGAGCGTCGGGAAGGAGATGGCTTTGACAGATTTTGGGCAAATCTGTGCCGCCACTGTGCTGCCCCCTCTCCCCCCCTCTGCTCTTTGTTGCCACATTTCAACCCTCCCCGTTGTTCCCCCCATGTTACTCCCCATCTCCCTTACTGTCTTCCCCTTCCGCCCCCTGCCTGTCCTTCCCCTCCCCTCCCCTCCCCTTCCCCCCGTCTCTCCCTTCCCCCCCTACTCCCGCCCCCCTTCCCTCCTCCCCCCTACTCCCCCCTTGTGGGCGCGGCAGCTGGGGTTCAGCACGCTGACGTGGGATGCGGGTAGTGCGCGGTACAGCGCGCACACGTTCAACTTCAACATCTTCCCGCGCCCCTTCCCTGGCTTCGACCTGCGCTTCCTCTGCCAGGCACGCCACGCTCGCACCCTTGCACCCTCGCCCTCCCGCAACCTCGCAGCCTTGCAGCCACGCAGCCTTGCTCCCATGCTCTCATGCTCCCTCCTCACCGCATCCCTCCTCTGTGCACTTTGTGCGCCATGCTGCGATCTCCTCCCCATCCCTCTGTCCTCTTTCTCCGCCTGTCCACCTCTGACTTCGCCCTTGCCTCCCTGTGTGTGCGTGTGTGTGTGCGTGTGTGTGTGTGTGTGTGTGTGTGCGTGTGTGTGTGCGTGTGTGTGTGCGTGTGTGTGTGCGTGTGTGTGTGCGTGTGTGTGTGCATGTGCTGAGAGCAGTCGTCATCGCTGGACTTCTTGGCGAACAACAACTTTGACTTCAACAAGTTCGTCTATCAAGGTGCCCACCTACCCCGCTCGCTATTCCTGCTGCTGCCCTTCAACCGCCGCGTCCATCATGGCGCAGCGGCCACTGCTGCTGGTGCGGCCACTGCCACTGCTGTGCTGCTGCTGCTGCGTCTGTCGTCTATAATCTGTGAACATGCCAGCGTCATGTGGGGAGGAGGAAGGTAAGCGCCGGTGGCGCGTGGCCATGCCGGGTAATTGAGGAAGGTGCGCATGCTAGTTGGATAGAATGAGATGTGTGGCTGGAGATGGCAGCATGGGGCTGGTGAGCGGTTGAATCACTTAGGAAGCTGAGCGCTGAGAATCTGTTGAGTGCCTGCATGCATGCATGCATGCATGTATGCATGTAGGTGAATAAGTGTGTCAGCTGATTAAGCTGGCGGTTGCATGAAGCATCCATTTTCTTCCCAGACGCACTACGTAGGCTCATGGCTATATGGCACTGCCTCGTACCTTCCACTTCTCTCCCATCCCCCCTCCCCTTGCGCTGCTTTTCGTCCCTCCAGACCCCCCTCTTCTCCTCTTCCTTTCTCTCTCTCTCTCTCCCCCTTTCCCACAATCCGCTTTGCACCCCTTCCCCTTTCATCCACTCCTCCCTCTCCCCCCTCCCACCCCACCCTCGGGCATTCCTTTCTTGCCATTGCACAAGGCAGAGAGGGAGAGGCGGCGCCTCAAAGCGTCCTCCCCACTGAGCCCCTTCTCACCCCTTCCATTATCTCTCCCCCTCCCCTCCCCCCCCCCCTCCCCTCTTCCCTCCCCCCCTCACCCCCGCCCTCCAGGCATTCCTTTCCTGCCAGTGGACAAGGCGGAGAGGGAGAGGCGGCGCCTCAGAGCGTCCTTCAAATTCAACAAGGGAGCAGCAGCAGAGGGAGCGGGCAGGGAGGGCAGCAGCAGCCGGCAGCAGCAGCAGCAGCAGCGCCCGCCCATAGTGCTGTCGCGGCCCGAGGACCGGCTGGTGGTGGGGCAGATAGTGGACGACGTTCGCGCATGGGTGCACTCCACCTCACCACCCCCCACGCACCTCGCTGCTGCTGCTGCTGCTGCTGCTGCTGCAGGGTCGGGCCCAGGGGGTGCAACAAAAACAGCAGGCGATGCGGCAGAGAAGGGAGGAGCAGGAGCAGGGGCAGGAGGAGAGGGGAAGGCAGGGGGAGAGGGAGAAGCGGGCGGTGGCGAGGGGGCGCAGATGAGGGTGGTGGTGGGCAACTCGTTCCTGCGCGCGGCGCTGCTGCAGCAGCTGGAGGAGGAGTTTGGGCAGAGCGAGTTCTACGTCGTGCGGGGGGAGGTGAGCCGTGGCTGGGGTTGAGACGGAGGGTGGGAGGAGGGAGTGAGCAGGGATGGGAGTTGGGGGAGATGGGGGTTCGGGGGGCAGAGAAGGGTGGGAGGTGTAAGGAGTTGCAGTGCGGTGGTTGTGGTGAGGGACGGAGAGAAAAGGGTGGAGGGGGAGGGGGGCTGGGGGGTTTGTGGGGGGAAGAGAGTGTTTGGCTGTTGTAACGGAATTTGGCTCCCCAAGGCTTTTGTCCAAGGCTGTTGTCCAAGGCTGTTGTCCAAGGCTGTTGTCCAAGGCTGTTGTCCAAGGCTGTTATCCAAGGCTGTTATCCAAGGCTGTTGTCCAAGGCTGTTGTCCAAGGCTGTTGTCCAAGGCTGTTGTCCAAGGCTGTTGTCCAAGGCTGTTATCCTAGGCTGTTATGCGGCTCTCCATCAGAATTGGCATGGTGCCGTGCCGTGCCGTGCCGTGCCGTGTCCTGCACTGCTATATTCCCGTTCCCATTGCCATGCCACTCTGTGTGCTCTTGACTTGCGCCCGTCATCTGCCCCCTCAACCCTCACCTGCCCCCGCAACCCTCACCTGCCCCCGCAACCCTCTCCTGCCCCCGCAACCCTCACCTGCCCCCGCAACCCTCACTTGCCCCCGCAACCCTCACCTGCCCCCGGAGAATCACCTGTACCAACTCACTCCGCCCCTCTCCGCTTACTCTACCTCATCTCCCCTTTCTCTCCCCGCTCTTCCCCCCCTGTGCCCCTCAGCGCCCCCAGCGCAGCCCCAAACTTCTCCTCCTGATGCGGGCAACAGAGGCGGATGTGGAGGAGTGGGGCCAGTGGAAGGACCACTCACTTCCACAACAGCGGACTTTAACCCTCTCCCATATCCCTCTCCCATATCCCTCTCCCATTTCCCTCTCCCCTTTCTTCCCCTCCCCCCGAAATCTCCTGCCCCTCTCCCTCTCTCCCCGTTTCACCTTCTCCCCTCTCCCCCCTCCCTCCCTCTCACTCCCCTCAGCGCCCCCAGCGCGGGCCTGAAGCGCTCCTCCTGGTGCGGGCAACAGAGTTGGACGTGGAGGAGTGGGGGCGGCAGGACGAGGCGCGGCAGCTGCAGCAGCTGGAGGCGGCCATAGGGTTCACGCGGGCTGTGGAGGCAGTGATGCGCGCCAGCAAGGGGGGGGTGCCGCTGGTGGCGCACAACTGCCTGTTTGACCTGGCGTACCTCTTCCAGCACTTCGTTCGCCCCATGCCCGACTCCCTGGAAGACTGGCGCCGCCAGGTGCGGCTCGTTTAGGGGAAGCGGGGAGGTTTTTTGAGAGCTTAAGCAAATCACAACTGCCTGTTTGACCTGGCGTACCTCTTCCAGCACTTCGTGCGCCGATGGGAAGTTCCAACAAGACAGACACCCGCCCGCCCTTCTTTGCCCCCCACCCCACATTCTTCCCCTTCCTGAGTCGACTCAAAAGCTGTCCCAGCCATGCCCTCCTTCGCTTCTCCCCCCATCCCCACTTTCGTCTCTCACCACCAATGTCGGGATCAGTGCCAGTGTGCCACCATGAATTGGTAGTGGGAGTTATGTTTCCCTCGTCAAGTTCCAGAAGCCCCCTCGCTTGCAACTAATGGTGGCACTCATCACACCTGCACCATAGAACACCATAGCATTGCTGCCCGCCCACTGCAAGTGTTTAAGCCTATCTGGCCACATGAATGACCGAACCGAACTGCCTTTAGCTGTATCCATATCCAAATCAGAGCCCAGGTTATTCCCTCAGCTCGTTACGCCCATTCCCATTACCGTACCTCCCCTTCGCCCCTCTCGTCGCTTCACCCCTCTCGTTCCATCAACCCCTCTCCTCCTGTGCCTCGTCCCCATCATCTCAGTTTCTGGAGGCGTTTCCTGCAGGAGTGTACGATACCAAGCACCTCGTCACCCACCTCCCCCCCGCCATCCTCCCCGCCAGCACCTCGCTCTCCTCCCTCTTCGAGTTCTTCTTTCACCGCCCCCCCTCGCCCTCCCATCCTCTGGATGCTAAGGATGATGGGGGGAAGCCGGGAGGAGGAGAGGGGGGAGGTGATGGTGGGGGTGGTGGTGGTGGGGGGATGGGAGACGGGAAGGGACAGCTAGCTGCGTGCTTCCTTGACATCCCAGTGGCGGTTAGTCGCAGCGAGGAGGGGGAGAAGGTACGAGAGGGCACGACGCGTCAAAACGGTGCGGTGGAAAAGGCAGCAGTGGGAGGCGGCGGTGAGAATGTGAAGGGAGGAGGAGACGAGACGGAGGGAACGAGGGAGAAAGAGGGCGAGGAGGAGGTGGCGGTGGTGCGAGTGCAGTGGCCGGGAGTGGTGCACAGCAAGGGGTTCAACCGCTACAGGCATCTGTCGCCAGACAACCCTGCCATGGCGCATGAAGCGGGGTGAGAGAGGGCCAGCTGTTGGAGGGCGGTGGGTTATGGACGGTGGGTGGGGTATGCTTGGGGTGTGGGCTGTTGGCTGTGGGGTGTGGGGTGTGGGGTGTGGGGTGTGGGGTGTGGGGTGTGGGGTGTGGGGTGTGGGGTTTGGGGTGTGTGACATACCATAGTCCCAGCATGGGCCACAAGGATGTCAAAGGAATGGGATGGCCGACGAAAGCGCATTGCTCACTCTCCCTGCGCCTCGCAGTTCAGCTAGCACGTGTCCGCCTCTCCCTCCCATCCCATGCCATGTGTGCCTCCAGGTTTGATGCCTACATGACAGCAGCTGTGTTCGTTGCCATCTCGTCTCTCCTCACCTCGCCTGCCCTCTCGTCCCAGGTAACACATCCCAGCTCTACTGCATCTTTGTGCAGTGCACACCACCCTTGGTACACGGCACACGCAGTTCAGTGCACACATAATGCAGTGCACTCACAGTGCAGTGCAGGTGTTTGAGACTGCACCTAGGCCACATGGCACCCGACCATCCTCCGCATCTTCTGCACTTACGGATCAAGCCCTCTTCTCTTATCCCTCTTTGGCATTCGCCCTCGCTTCATCCGCCTTCTCTGTTCTTTTCATCCAACCTTCATCTTCTGGTCCCTTCTTTCTGCCTGCGTACAGCATTCAAATGTCTTACCCTACACGGCCTTAATAGCAGCAGCAGAAGCTGGAGCACTAACCCAATCAACAAAAGCTACTGCCGCAGCACCCACAGCCGCTCGAGGTGCTTCAAGCACCACAACTGCAATTGCCACCAATCGTAACAACACAAGCAACACAAGCAACACCAGCAACACCAGCAACACAAGCAACACCATCCCTTCGACAGCCACAAATGCAGTCATGCGCAGCTGCTCCTCCCCATCGCGCATCAACCTCTCCACCGCATCACCACTCTCAACCCATCGCAACTGTGTCAACGTCATGTTCTGGGACGTCAGGACCCTCCCACTCCAAGGCCCACTGCCTGCCCCCAACCGCTCCAACCTCTTCCTTCTCTCCGCGTTCGATGCCCAATCCACCACCACGTCCTCTCTCATCAACCTCTTCCAATCACTAGGGTTGGGGGAGGTTCGGGTGACCTGGGTGGACCGAACCTCAGCAGTGGTTTCTGTTGCTGATCCGAGCCTGGCGGCATTGGCGGTGAGTGCAGTGGAAGGGTCTGGGTGGGTGGGGGCGATAGAGGAATGGAGGGGGGTGGAGGAAGAGGAGGGGCGGGACAAGGAGACGGAAGGTGGTGAGTGGGGGAAGGAGGTTCGGAGGAGAGAGAGGGAGGCACAGAAGGATGAGGAAGAGGGTTTTGGGAGGCTGTGGAAGCTTGCTAGGAGGAGAGGAAGGGCGACCGAGGAGGAAGAGGAGACCAAGAAGCAGAAGGGGGCGTGTACAGTGATGTAATGCGCAGTTACAGCACATCTCCTGCACTGACCTGTGACAGTTGAGAATCGGTTTTAGGGTGTACCGGTACTGACTTGTGGCAACCAGCTCACTCACATTGACATGTGAAGCCCCACTTCCCTTCCGTTGACAATGGCACGTGCTCACTTTTCATCAGCTGTTGGTAACAAAATTAATGATGTCCAGTCCACCAGCCCCCTAGATCTCAGCCTACTCAGTACTTACGCTGACTCCGTTTTTTTCCAGAGATTTTCGATGCACCAATGCTGAGTGGGTGGGCTTTTTTTCTCGGAGTAGAAAGTTGACTAGACTGATGCATACAGGTGGATTTTGAGAAAGTGTTGTACCCTCTAAGAGCATGCATCTATCTAGCCTAGTATTAAAACATATACAAATATGTTTGACACACACCCAGATGAGGGGCAGTGCCTGAAGGTCGACACACAGCTCAGGGTGGCACTACTAGTCCAGCCTGTGAGGCAAGGGTCCGGAGACCAGTTAGCAAGAGTACAAACAAAACAAGAGCAAACCAGGGCGGCACTACAAGTCCGACCACTCGAAGAGAAGCCAGAAAGGTATATATAAAGAGAAGTACACAATCAGGGTCCTAGCGAGTAGCTACAGGAACCAGACCAAGCTGCAAACAGTGCCGCTGATAATCTTTAGGCGCAAGCGCCTTAGTAAAGATATCAGCTGTGTTGGCACCGGAGGCCAAGTGTACTACGTGGGCCTGGCGACGCTGCTGTAGCCCGCGCAGGAGAAAGTACCGCAACTGGATGTGCTTCGCTCTGCCCTCCAGTCGAGGCTCCTGACACAGGAGGACATGACCCTATTGTCAGCGTACAGAACCGAGGCAGAGCTAGGCCGCTCACCTAACTCTGTGAGTAAGAAAGTCAGCCAGCGGAGCTCCTGTGCCGCCACGGCACCAGCGTAGATCTCAGCCTCGCAGTTGGGCTGAGCAACTGACGACGAATGGGTGGACCTCCACGAGACCGCGCCTGCACCAAGGCTAAAGCAGTAGCCCTGAGAGGACCTGAGGGTATCAGCGTCGTCTGCCCAAGAAGCGTCAGTGTGCCCAGTGAGGACCACTGGCCTGCGTCCTCCCAGTACTAGCCCCATGCTCGATGTGCTTGCAAGATAACGCAAAATCCTCTTAGCGGCCGACCAGTGCTGTGGTCGGTGTCAGCTTGTGGCCACAAAGCGAATTAGGATGCTGAGAGTGTATGCGAGATCTGGACGAGTGCAAGTCATCAGGTACATGAGGCAACCCACCAGCTTTGCGTAAGGACCACTGGACTCTACTGACTCCTCAGGAACTGGAGCCGAGAGCCTGTGGTCTACTGGCAGAGGCGTAGGATGTGCAGAGGAGAACTGAAGACCGAACCTCTGAAGGACGTGGCGCACCAAGTGGGAATGTGTGAGAGTGATGGTGCGCGCTTCTCTGTCCCTGGAGATCTGCAGGCCAAGGTAGCGGTGCAGCTCTCCTAGGTCAGTGCAGGTGTGCCTCCTCAACAGCTCGGCCTTCACGGAGGCCAGTGCATCTCTGTCTGCAGTAGTGAAGACCAGGTCGTCTACGTAGACGAGGATGTAGAACGGAGTCTGGCCAGCATGAACGAAGAGCGAGGGGTCTGCAGAGGGTAGAATGAACTGCAGGTCAGCTAGCAAAGCACGCAGCATGTCGTGCCACTTACGTGGCGCCTCTCGCAGGCCGTAGACCGGGCGCCATAGGAGCTACTAGGTCCCAGGCAGGAAGGTAACAGTGAAGCCTTGTGGACGGCACAGGTAGACCTGCTCGTGTAGGCTGCCTTGAAGAAAAGCAGTGGAGAAGTCGAGGGAGTGGAGCTCGTAGTCACGTTGTACTGCTACATGTAGCAGTGCCCGAAGAGAAGTCATCTTCAGGGTCGGGGCGAAGGTCTGAAAGAGGTCCACCCCCTCGCGCTGACTGAAGCCTCGAGCCACGTAGCTTGCCTTGAACACAGGCGACTCTCCAGGAGGGCGCTTCACCTTGAAGAGCCACCGGCCATCGACGTAGGTGCTAGTGGACCTCCAGGATGCCATCTCCTGCTCCATGGCAGCTATCCACTGAGAGGCTCAGGGACCCGAGGTCGCCTTAGCGTAAGTGCGAGAGGTCGGGATGTCAAAGGCATCTGGGTCACCCTCAGGGACTAGCAGCATGGAGCAGAGATGGGGAGCAGCCTCGGACAGGAAAGCAAGCTCGTACAGCCTCTCCTCTTGGACGTCACTGCCAAGAGAAGGAGCACTCCCAACGGACGGAGGACGGACAGAGTCAGAGACTAGAGCGGTGGCGTAGTCGAGGCGGCAGGTAGAGGCGAAGTCAGCGACAGCAGCGACAAGATCGTAAAGACAGGAGAAAGGAACAGACGGTTCGGTAACTAGGGAGGCAAGGACCCGAGGAACAAGAGGGCGAGCAGCACGAAGGTAGTCAGACAAAGGGGGAGGCGCAATAGCGAGCGACGACGGAGGAGACGGGAGGAGGGGAGGACGAGACGCGTGGGAACGAAGCAACACAGGGTGAGAACGCGGAACAGGAGAGACAGGATGAGCACGAGAGGGACAGCGAGACTAGACGTGAGACCGAGGCATCGGGTCAGGAGACATAGGAGGAGACACAAGGGGGGAACGAGGCGGGAAGCAGGCAAGGGACGAGTCTGGCGGAGGCACAGGCGAGCGGTCAGGGGAGGGAAGGCCGAGCAGGGGAAGGGCGGAGAACGGCGGCGATTCGTGCTACTGCTGCTCGACGCCGACACCAGAACGGCCAGCTGCACCACGGCTACCAACGGAATACTCCACTCCAGCACCCCCAAAGAAAGCACCTCTAGAGCAAGCACCCCCAGAGCGAGAACCCTCTCCAGCACCGGTGCCACCCCCGAGCCCGCCAGGACAAGCCACGACAGGAACCCCAGGACTAGCACCCTCCTCAACGCCAGTACCCCCAGAATATAAGAACAGTGGCTGCTGCTGCGACGGCGGCGGCTCCTGCGGCGACGACTGCGACGACGGCTGCGGCGGCGACTGCGCCGACGGGGGAGGGGACACCGGGGGAGTGGCAGGCGGCGAGAACTGCGCAGCGGGGCCACCAGAGTCAGTCGACTCCTCGACCGGGACAACCGACGGGAGGGGAGTGATATGCGACACTCCAGACGGAGCAAGACGGGGAGGGAGGGGAGCAGGGGCTACCGGGGGAGTGGGAACCAGGAACAGGGGAGGGGAAACCGGGAGACCGCGGTGGGTAAAGCGTCTGTAAAAAGAGACAGACTCGTCGAAATCGACGTCATGTGAGTGAAGGAAGCGGTGAGAGGGCGGGTGGTAAAAGTGCCAGTCAGACGAGTCAAGGGGGAAGCCAAGGAAGACACAGGGGACAGTGCGGGCAGTGAGCTTGTCCGTGCCAGAGGAACGAACGTAAGCAAGGCATCCCCAGACGTGGAACGCAGACGCGTTACCAGGAGACCCAGTCCAGAGGAGGGTCGGTGAAACCTGCGGCCGCTAGGAGTGGGGCCACAGTTTCAGTTGGTGAGCGGCGTAGCGAACGACGAACGGCCACAAAAAATGGGGTGCACCGGCATGGATCATGGAGGTACGGGCCACCTCCATGTCCAAGCCGATGCATCGCTCAGCGACCCCATTCTGCTGTGGGGAGTCCGACAGGGTGTACGACTGGGTGATGCCCTCCGCACGACAGAACCGGCCAAGCCGATCGGAGGCAAACTCGCCACCACGGTCGGAGTGGAGATACAGCACGGGGGGACCCTAACCTAGCGCATGATATCATCTCAGAGTAGAAAGTTGACTAGATGGATGCATACATGTGGATTTTGAGCAAGATAACATGATAACATGATAACATGTACGGTCAATGATACGATATAAGCAATCAGAATTAGCGAGTTTGCAACATGATTCATCAGTCGGGCTCCACCGTTAGTAAGAAACTGCAGGGAAATAAGTTCCACGAATGGTCAGTAGAAGTAACCCCCGCCAGTCTCGGAACGTTTTCCTGCCCGCGCTAGCCCAATTTCGTCATCATTGTGGCTGGCGCGATATTTTTCTCGAGGTCCAATTGCAGTTCGAGCGAAAAAACTCAACATGCCCAAATTAAAATTCATTGGACATTTGTTAGACGAGAAACGCGAAAACACGATTTTGTTTTGAAGAACATACTTTCGACAGAGAGGGTAGCGCATCCCGCGATGATAAAAAATGGCGGCTTTGTCTCTACCGCATTTACGGCCCCCCAAAAAAGTCAAGCCATAAACTTGTTGTTATTCCCGAGTTGCCCGAAAACAATAGCATATATAGATAGCTACAGAGGTTTATTTTTAGGATATGAATATGATTAAAAGGGCGTCAAGGTACTCTCAGAACCGAGTTTGATTTTGTATTCATTTCAATATTACAAATCTATTTGAAGTATGCCGGTTGTCCTTTGATTTTTTTTTATTTTTTTTTTACAAAAGTATTTACTGGAAAAGTTTTCCGCCGAAATACGACTTTACAGGTCTTGTCATGCTCGAAACAAAATACCGCACGCGCACTACAATATAATATGCATGCCCCATTGGCTTAGCGTCGATCTTGGATAGATTTGCCCTTTCGTCTCAAAAGGTTTTTTTTTTTTTTTTTTTTTTTTTTTTTTTTCCGCTTGTGTGGCCCGCTGTGGCTCAGTTTGTCAAACATGTGTATTTGTCATGTTTGTATAGAGTGTATAGGGTCGCCTCTTAGAGAGTACAACACTTAGGTATATCTTTGTGTACTCTCACTCTATCTAGCATTCAATTTTCAATTCTGATATGGTATCACGCGTAGGTAGGATCCCCCCCCACCTACCGCTTCCGCTCACCCCTCTAGCCCCTAGCCCAGTCGCGACCCCCCCTAGCCCCGTCGCGCCCCTCACTGGGCCCCGTCGCGCCCCTCCTGGGCTTCGTAGCGCTCCTCCTGGGCTCCGTAGCGCCCCTCCTGGGCCTCGTCGCGCACCTCCTGGGCTTCGTAGCGCCCCACCTGGGCCCCGTAGCGCCCCTCCCAGGCCCCATCGCGCCCCTCCCAGGCCCCGTCGCGCCCCTCCCAGGCCCCCTAGCGCCCCTCCTGGGCCCCGTCGCGCTCCTCCCAGGCCCCGTAGCGCCCCTCCTGGGCCCCGTAGCGCCCCTCCTGGGCCTCGTCGCACTCCTCCCAGGCCCCGTCGCGCCCCTCCTGGGCTCCGTAGCGCCCCTACTGGGCCCCGTCGCGCCCCTCCTGGGCCCCGTAGCGCCCCTCCTGGGCCCCGTCGCGCCCTCCCTGGGCCCTGTAGCGCCCCTCCTGGGCCCCGTCGCGCCCCTCCTAGGCCCCGTCGCGCCCCTCCTA